TACAAAGCCTCTATCACTAATGCAAAAATGTGAAATTAAAAAAAAAACTACTGAAATAACAATTTAGTAACTATCCAGTTGCGGTTCGGGTCAGGAAAGATTTGAGGTTTTGAATTTCCGACATAACCTGGATTCTTAGCCTCTATCCACCCTAAAAATGTAATTAAATTATTTATAATTTACATTCAATTTTGAGCGGAGGCGGTGTTTTGTTATAAGGAATCTTTGTACAAAGGATCCCGAAATACTTTTCTGAGGCATTATCAACTATGATTTTGCATATTAACGCGACACAAAATGTCATGAAGGAAGATTCGATAACGTAGGTTGATATTATCATTGGGGAAAGGGTAAGTTTAACGAATCCTTAAATTTTTATGCAACTGTCGACGCAGTTAGGCAGGCCACTCGTGAAAAGAGCCCACTTTTTCGACGGATAATGTTTTTTACTGTTATGTTATGTTGTCGTTTAGCGATTTTGCAGTTGTGCAAAGTATTTTATTGGCGACCAATTGGAGTCTATTTTTAATTTATTGCTTTCTAACTTTAATTCTGTGTTTAATGTAACATGCGGCTGCGACTACAAATTAAGAACATTACTATAATGAAATATCACATTAATCCACGGCCATAAAAAGTGTTTCCAACTGCCAAATTATATTTAGTTTTGATTCATATTTTTGCGATGTTACGAATTAGTTATACAAATATGATGTTCTTGCATCGCTGACTGTTTCTATCACTAGATATTTTTATCAACGTCCGAGAAATCCCTAGATCTGCTATAAAATATCAAAGACTACAATTTATTTCAATCAGTACATTAAAAATTGATTTTGCATTGATAAGCAGGTAGTAGACTCAAACTTTCGTGTTAAAAATGCTGTGGTATTCGAATGGAAATTCGGATCTCGAACATCCGAGCCGAGCGTTTATATTGCATTATATAATTGAATAACATCAGCTGTATGGATGCCGTTGTTCGTTTTGTAAATGAAAATCAACAGGTATCATACAGTAGTACGACTAAAACTTGTGCGGCCCGCTCACTCACGGTGACTGATAAAGTGGCCCGCGACAGCAAATGGGTTCGTCACCCCTGTTGTAGTGTAACCATAAATGCCACTACGTCCGATACCACACATAACAGCAACCTACATTCAACATACTAAATCGTTTCATTATGTCACCTTGGCACAAAGGTAAGCATTCCTGCACTTTTCGAGGAAGTTTTTCAAACTATGTAGAAATTCAAAGAAACAATCTTGAACTCGCGTGTTAACTGACAACGTCGTTGGTCCACCAGTGCAACAGTACGTAAATCATGCACACTTTCTTCACGTCGTGGTACTTGCATAGGAACCTTTCTTCTTTTCCCTCGCATATATAGATTTCAATGTCTTATCGAAGTGAAATCGACGTTAAGACGATTGGCAGTAATATATTACTGTGGCAGGCTGTTGATGAGAAAAACTTGTTCAAGGCCTACGCCATTGTATCTTATGTCGAAATCTTCATTTGTGAATGTGGAAACAAAAAGTGAAAGTCAATCACATTGCTTTCCACTCATGCGAATGGAGCCGAGAATTGGTGCAATTTGATGTGAGGTTGCAATTTTTGTGCCACAATATGCATTCACAATTTCAAATGTAAGTTCCTTTGATTAATTGTTTATTTGCCGTTCGCGTTGCAGCTGCAGAGATTCCCACTGATTTGCTTTTGGCACCACTAACTGATGGTGATTCGTCTAACTCGTCTCTATTTCCCAGGCTTGTTCACGGCGCATATTTTTTCTTTTCCATCCCATACAAAGCAATTTATGTCCTCCTCACCATAGAATACAATTAAATAAAAATTGGTAATTTAGGTTTCTTAATCAATCCCATCCTTTCTTAATCAACTTATACCAACTGCACTGCGTTTTGCACTTTGCACAGTAAAGAAATGATGATAAAATACTTTCAGATATTTTAACCGCTCCAACATCGGATATTGAAGATTTTACGTGTTCTTTTGGAATATCAATTAAGTAGCATTTTTTATCACTCAAAATTCTAGCAACCATTCGGGAATTTATGTATGCAGCTGGGAGAATGGGAATAAGTGACATAATGGAATATGAGCCAGCCCTGTTTGATATCAAACGTTTGTCGTCAAAATCCGAAGAAACAAAATGGGTTGCCAAGTTCCAAGCGTCATCTAAATTTATCGCCCCAGTCCTTGTAGGTAATTGGACTGTTTTTCGCAGATTTAGGCGTGGCGTCCTGTCCAAATCTTCCTAGGCCATTTTGTTTTGATGCCAGTTTATCGAGGGCCTTCCAGCACTTGCCAATTTTTCCTCCTATTGTTATATCATTATTAGGGCTGGGCATTTTCGAATACCTGATGATTTCAGAATCGAAACGAATATTTTTTCGAATCGAATCCCGAATACTTGGGAGATATAATTGTATGTAACTTTATTGTTGTGTTGGGTCCTCCAGACACATAAATTACTGAAAATGTAAAATACATCACTCAGACAGATTGCTGAGCGTCCACGCACAATAAAAATTACGCTTCATCAACAACTCACTACAGAAAAGAGTTATATGTCAGAATTGCCTTGAAAAATATGGCTTCGATGAAAAAAATTGAGAAATTTACCTCGAAAATTGGCGGAAAGGGGAAAAAAAAACAAGATGGCGGTGATTCGAAACTTTGCTATGAACTGATTCGAATAATTTACTATTCGATTTGAAATGCCCACCCCTAATCATTATGCACAGAACTTGAATAATAGGTATCCTCTACTATTGTCAATGGCAACATATCTGGCGTAGCCTACTTATATAGGATTGTTGTTTAGAAGCACTTATCAATATTTTCGATACTGAATAATTTGAATTCTGTAGTCCAACATTAGACAGATGACGGCTATGGCTCCAATAACCCAAATCACTGCCGACATCGCGGTTCAAGAGGCGTATGAAAGCATCCGACGCCATCCTCGGAATGACAACGTTGGCCATGTGGAAGAGAGTGTGATTTCCCCGGCCTGGGACAAGAATTTCGTCCACGAATTCTTTAAAATCAAATAATTTCGACAAAATCTTTAAAAAAGCCAAATGGCGTGAGATTTTCGCGCTTCAGAGCATATTGTATTAGGTCAATTTGGAACCCGAGTAAGCACTCCTGCAGTGTTCAAAAAATTTCCTGGAACTTTGTGGAAGTTCGGTGAAAACAATCCTGAACTCGCATATTAGTCGGCAACGTCGTTATCTACCAGCGCAACTACACTTAGGTATATATATCACGTGGTATTTACATACCTCCCTGCTTTTTCACTAGCACATACCTGTAGATTTTGCTGTTTTATCGAAGTGAAATCTTTAATAAAATGACTTGCAGTAATGTCAAGGTGGCATGCTGCTGATGAAAAAACTTGGTTAAAACCACGACATTGTTCTTTTAGTTTATCTTGTCCTATAACTCTTTGTTCTCCCTTTCCCTATCCTTCCTCTATGCTAGTGGATCTGCATGCGTATACTGCAAGGATGTTATGACTATTCTATCCAATTCAAGTTTATTCGCTGTTTCGTCATAATTAATTTGAGATTTCGATTTCAAACAAATTTATTTATCGCTACATTTCAAACTACATGATTGTTAATTTCTTGCCATTGTTGTAAACGGTTTGTCCGAGGAAGTCAGACGAAGCCTTACAAAAATACATTTAAATTGGATAAAAATTTAAGCAGATATTTTAATAGTGCTACACAAGACAGATGTTTGGCCTAACCATATACAGTCTACTCTATTTACATTCCAGTGATTTTATAATCAGATAGCTATAACAAGTAACAATACATAGCTAAGGCTTGGATTACCCACTATCCGACAGAAGTAGTTTTGGTTTTCCATCCAGCTCCGCTCTCAACAGTCTGCTATCCGGAAACTCCTGCTGAATACGATATCGGCCGAGTGAAATATCTTTTCAACATGATTCCAGAATTAAAAAAAAAAAAAAAATACTGTAGTCTTAACCTAAATTACCAGATATTTGCAGGCTCCAGATGTGGCATTTATCTTCAAAATAACACATGAGCAAGGCATCCGCAACTCTACGCTATGGCAAGCTACCTGCAAATGGAACAAATTGCTATGCAAATTGAATTCATTCGGCTGGGACCTGATTTAATCCGAATGAAGTTAACCCTTTTTGAGTCAGTACGCCCTTCGCTGTTGAATTCCGGGACTGAAAATTTTAATAGCGCTCTCATGTCGTCGTGTAAAAAGTTACAATCACGACGCAACGTGCGAGTTATAATAATTGCATCGATTTTAGAATGACAAAATTGACATTTTGAGACGAATATTTCTATTTAACCAGGTGCAATCAGCTAATCATTGATTTGGATGATTAGTATTGGGACCAGTGGATAAAAAGCATCGCGGCATCTAAGGATTCCGCAATTAAGGGAATTCCATCAACTAGTGTAAACTCAAATAGATATTTTAGTGTGAACCGCAATAACATCAGAAAATAGCGTGTGAGTTGGCCTCGATAACCGTACGGTCGTATCACCCCCCCTGTTAATACCAAAGCAATTTCATTTCTGTTACATTTTTTCGTATTGGTGACTGTATGTATTTAGGTTGACAAATATCTCTCTCTCTCGTGCGTGGCAAGTCTAAAGAAATTAATAATGTACATTACTGCGTAATAAATCATTTTAGGCGGAGTATTTGATTAATTAGCATTGAATCCTAAACATAATAGCGAAAATGAGGGAGGTAACTTTGATGACCGTATCACTCCACAAGTCTATACCAAGTTAATTTGTTACTTGGTATTACATTTTATTATTGCGGTGACTCTTTTTTTGATTGACGATGAAATTCCTCTCCTGCTCGAATCCATGTTGTTTCTCGTGATTCTTTACCGTCATCTAGTGTTTTTCGGCTATTCTGCACCGCAAGGTCTGCTGTTGGACTAAAAATTTACTCCAGCCCACAATTTCGAGTTTCGGCGGTTACGGTTTTGTCCTCGTTCAGGTATTTTGTGACGGATTGTTCAGAGCTATGCTATATGAAAAGACGCCATCTCACACTTTCGGTTTGGATACCCCACATTTCAGTCAGGCCGCACTAGCACATGTGATTGTGGGTATTGGTGTTTGAGAACCAAGTTAGTAAGTAGTGCCAAACGGCAAAACTAAATTAGGTGGTCCTTGCTAAAAATCCCATAATTGCTGTAAATGTATGCATGATAAACCCTCATGTTGCCATGAAACTGTGAGCTGGTACCGGTAGATTATGGCAGTATGGGCTAGTCTTTGAAGGGTGGTTAATGTTATGACTGACTTTTTTGCCTTTTTCAATAATTAACTAGGCTACAAGGATTTCAAAAAAATTTGTGGCCAGTCATCTCATTCTGTCATTAGATAACCGTATCTTAGATTGAATGTCAATTTTGTCTTCCAATATTTAACAGAACAAAGTTGTAATCTTGCAATGTCACAATATCAAACAGCTCATGCAGCATCCGTACAACAAACTTTAAAAGTTGTGGAAACCAACCTTTCATCTCTTGGATCAGGACCATACACACCAGAACAAGCGGAAAAAGTTCAAGAATTGAATCAACTGAAACAAAAATTGTGCCAGATACAAGCAACTGGTGGTACAACTGCTGGTTTCAATTTACAGCAGCAAGCAGCTAAGCCAATTGTTATGAACCAACCTAGCCCTGCACCTGTCACTAATATGATCCCGGGAATGGTGACTCAGACTACAATTAAGACAGAGTTGCAACCGGCTGTGGTCTTGTCACAAGGGTCAGCTACATCAGCTGCAATTGAAGATGACAAAATATTAAGTAAACAGAGACTTCATGAACTTGTAAAAGACATTGATCCGAATGAACAACTAGATGATGATGTGGAAGAAATGTTGATGCAAATAACTGATGATTTTATAGAAAGTGTTGTTGCATCAGCATGTGACCTTGCTAGGCATAGAAACTCTAGTGTTTTGGAAGTCAAAGACATGAAATTCCATTTAGAAAATCATTGGAATATTGATGTTTTAGGATATGGTTCAGATGAAATAAAACCATTTAAGAAAACAGTTTCCACAGAAGCTCATAAACAAAGATTGGCACTCATAAGAAAAGCGACTAAAAAGTGATCGCTTGTATTTTGGTTACATTCACAAGCTATTCTAATGTATATACAGTCAAGGATGGTCGATCATGTTGAAATCATAGTTGGACATGTTATATAAAGGTGACCAAAAAACATAATGCATAATATCTCTATTACTTATACGAAAATAAGGAAAATTTATTTATTACCCAAACTTCTGTTTGTGTATAATCAAAGTAGGTACTCCCGCAGTATGTGTACCAGGTTAGGGCTAGGCCATAATTTTATTCCGATTTACCTTAATTTAGTTCTATTACGGGTTAAGGGACTGTCTGTGTTACCCAAGTGAGTGCCCCCTGCCCATAGGTTTCAGTCTCTTCACACAACTTGATGTAAAATAGGCGAACAAAATTAGTTGCCTCTATATTTTGTTACACATACTCCTGGAGCGCCCAAAGTTTTAGTAATCTGTGATGCTTTGCACAAAAGTTGTGGTCTTTCTAGAATATGTTCTGAGTGACCTGGATTTTTTGACTCTAAGTCATTCACAATTTTCTAGGTGTGAATTACTGAATGATGATGAATAATGAATTTTTATGCTCAATAATACATCGTTTACTTTTCCACTAATTTATCATCAAAATGAATGAATGGTGTGAAAGTTGTGTTAGATAAATATTTTTTTACGTATAAGAATGTACGGTTTTGCATTTCTTTATATTGAGGAAAGCTATTTGGAAGTGCCAACTCATACATATAACATTATAGGTTTTGAAATATCTTTACTATGAGTTGATAGGATTGTCTTGCGACATTATTGAATGCTCAAAATGGAACATTGAGACTAATATATAAAGCACATTCTATAGAAATGCTTATGTTGATATTTACCAAAATATTTAGTTGATATGTTGGGATATGTATACATTATGTGAGAATACGGACTACAGAATTAAATGACAGATGCCTAAAAATATGTTCAAATTGCACAGTTGTGTAATGAGTGAGAAACAGTTACTTGGAGAGAAAGTAGAAATTGATGTCTGGAAATTGGAAACAAGTTTTCATAGGGAGAATTCTGTTTATGTCCATCATGGTTGTATCTTCTCTGTCTACCCCAGTAGTAACATCTCCAAGATTTCAATACTTATTTGGATATGGCAAATCTTTTTAAAATATCAATGTTTTGATCCATGAGAATCCCATATTTCATTATTTGTTTCGATCATTGAAGTATAATGAATGATTTTTTGTTTTGTTTACAAGAGCCAGATATTACATTACATGAAAATCATAATGTCTCATTTACCAATACCACCAAAGGGTTGCTTCTATGATTTGAATGTGCCTTATGATGAAAATCAAAAACATATGGATTCTGTTTTGACTACATTTAAAGAGCTGGGTTATTCAGTTTTAGCATTTTCAAAATATATTCCATCAGGATCTTTGAAACGAGGTGGAAAAAAGAAAAGATTGCAACTTCCTACCCCACCAGACAAAGTAAATTTTGATGGAATAACGCAGTTATCGAGAATCACGATTGAACTGAGCGAAGTAGACGACCAGATTACTGTTCGAGATGTCATAACTCATGGGGGATTCGATATCATTGCGGTAGAACCAAAGACTGAAAAATTATTTCTTTCTGCATGTACCCAACTTAATATTGATATTATAACATTTGATGGTGCAGAAAAACTTTCATTCTTTCTAAGGACACACCAAGTTCGTGCAGCAATCGCACGCGGCATTCATTTTGAGTTTAACTACTCACCAATGGTTCGTGACCCAACAATGCGAAAGCTAACAACCACATGTGCTCTGAGATTGGTTGAATGCTGCAAGTCAAAAAATATAATAATGTCGAGTAAATCTTTGCATCCACTGGAATTAAGGGGACCATATGACGTAGCAAATCTCGGAATTTTGTTTACAATGAAAGAGAGCATGGTGCCACATCTGGTGTCTCATAACTGTCGATGTGTCGTGGTTCACAGTTTTGCAAGGAAAACTGCCAAAGGTGCAGTTTTTATACAAAAAATTGAAAGTAGTGATTCTAATATGCTCAAAAGGCAAGCAGAAATTTGTGATGATGAAGCAAAGAAGGCTAAACTGGAATTATAATACTGAAAAATATATTTAATTTAAATTTACAGTATCTGTTTTGGGGTATTATAAAGCTCCCTGTGTCACAGGTCAGACCTAGTCAAGTCGCAGTCTTATTCACTAGCAAGTACTGTCTTGATGCTTCCAGACAAATTTGTATTGGCAGTTGTGAGCCAACAAAATACCACACGCATACGGCCCGTGATAAAAATAAGGAGATTCTGATTATTCGAAAAATTGCTTCGGGGAGGAAGTCACCCTGGGGGATGGCTGTTTTTGGGAGGTCAAAATCTTATCTGACAATATGGAGCGATTAAAAAGCTTGAGGTTTTATCTAGCCAGCAGAGACTAATATAAAATTGAACATAACTAAATCTGCAGGGAAATTTTGCAGAAAGCGCTGTTAATTAATTGGTATTTATCGAATAAACTTTTTTGTCATGAATAAATAAAGTCTATAAATTCTGTCAGACTATCAGATCTCAAATACTTGATATTTGAATTTTTTCTCGAAATCTGGGAATTTCGTATGCATCCATTATAACAAATTCTATGCGTTTTGTTTTGGACACTCCCATTTGCACGAACCCCATGTTCTAAAGATCTCATTGGCTACCAAAATACAATTGCAACACAAATCAGTTTTGGATGTTCAAAAGACCCCAAGCGCTTCTGAAATACAGTTAGACCATTGTATTATAATATTTTCACACAATTTTAAGGAAACATACAATAGCAACACCCACCTATTAATATATTCTACAAATCAGCAAAGCAAAATCTAAAAACATGAAAATCTGCACAGAAGGAAGTGTAAACTTCCAACAGACATTTCAATAACTTAAAGGAAGAGCATCACCCTTCACGAAGGAATTACAAATTAGATAATTTTAAATTTTCTGTGATGTGTTTCCAAATTTTTGTCCTATTTATCAAAAAGATAGATAATCATTATTAATTGCAATGTTGAATTAAATTTTTTGGCACAGAGAAAAATGGAGAGTCCGACATTCAAATTTTAAGTTTAACCATCAGAAGTGTAATCTACAGGCAAGATGGACTCATCCCGATTTCAACCTCCAGGCACGGCTACAAAAATTCTTGGAATGAAAATAAGTAACTCTATTTATCTTCTATCAGCAAACTATGTGTACACAAAACAGCCAACAGTAAAGTATATACACAGCTTCCTATTCTTACAAACGTTGACTGAAACATAAATAATATACATAAATCTGCAGCAGTTAAGGTTTTTACTATAGACAACTATACAACCTCATAAATAGTTGAATTGCCTATTTGGTTAGATTGTTTTTATAATATTGAACATCACAAAAACAATCTTTAGTTACTACATGTGACAAATAAGATATTGCAGTTATTTTTTTTGAACCAAGAGCCATAAGCTTTCGAGATAGAACAGGTCTGTAGATATTACTGGTCCGTCAAGTTCAACTTTTTTTCTGGAGTTCAGACGATAACCAGTCCAATCCTTCATACAATCCATTTCCTTCTGTTGCACAAGCCGCTTGAACGTACCACTGGAAAAATAGACATGGGATATAACTTTAGTCTGCAAGATTAACCTCAATTCAATATTACTCACTATATTATTGTACAATGAAGGGCGCTCCAGAAGTGTGTACCAATATGTAGGTAACTGATTTTGTTCGCCTACTTTACATCAAGTTAGGTAAAGGGACTGAAACCTATGGGCATGGGGTATATTCACTTGACTAACACAGACAGTACCCGAACTCGTAATAGAATTAAAATAAGGAAATTGGAATAAAATTATGGCCTAACCTGGTACACATACACCAATGAAGTGTATTTAGAGAAATAGCCAGCAACAGTTCCCAAAATTTCCCAATGTGAGGACTGTTACAGTTTCCCAGAAATACATTGTTATTGATATACTGGCATCAACCCAATAAAATCAATAGTGCCACACAATTCAAAAAAATTGACCGTATAATAAGAAAGTGTTGGCAATTGTGCCAACATCTTGCAAGATTAGTATTATAAGCTTCTCAAATGTCTTGCTGGCACACTAATAAACACATTTCTGTAATGTTTTATTTGACCAAGTTCTGATTTAATTTGTGTTGGTCCGAGGAAGTACATGTAAAATTAATTTGTGTTAGTATGCAGACTTTTGAATAATTTGAAAAATCAGTTTTGCCCTTTTAATAGGCATTTTCGAACACTCACCTTTCTTCCACTTTTACCACATAAGCCTAGTTTATCCGTAACATCAGTCGTACTCAATGCGTTCGGTAAATCCTGTTTATTCGCAAAAACCAGAACAATCGCATTTTGTAGTTCATCTTCGCTCAACTATATTAAAAAAAGGATAATCGCCAAATTAGGGTTTTTTGAATAATTACGTCTGCTCTATAAAGGGAATACTATATGTCTCTTATTATGCAAGACTAGACAATATCATCGAGCATATGAATTAGCACAAATGGGGTAACACCCATGTTTATTTCTAGCAAATTACCTATTGATATTGAATAATAAATTACTTTGAATAATAAATATAGATGTTGCTCAATGTATGCCACAAATTCATATATGAAGAGCATCGGCTTATCATTAATTTATTTAAAATATGATTATCTAAATCAGCGTCAAATATAGCTTAATCTATAAAAAAAGGGGGCCATCCAATATTAAATTTCCATTCCAAAAATCACTATCTGAAGAAAAGCAATTTGAATGTAGGAAACTGGGCGCAAATGGTGGTATATTTGCTAATGTTTCGAATGCTTATGCATACAAGCGAACATTATTTTAAGTCTTGCTAGGTAGGATTGTTTCTTCTTGTATGTTATGTTTGTTTGTATGCTTCCATTATATCTTTGTTTATCCATAACTTTGGTAAGTCATGAGTTTCCTTTACTATTAAGTGAATGTGAGAATTTGCTTAACCTGATTCAGACGCCCAAACGAGCCCAATTTTGAATACATTTTTATTAATGTCATACGACCCCCAAAATTTACCCAATATACAATAATTATATACCATTGGAAAGGTCTTTTAGAGTACTATACGCTAGATGTCACTGGAGGACCGTAAACTAAAACACCTCTTTCAAGAGGTCTCTCGTAACGTCAAAAAATAACAAAAATATTTACACTCTCTCATTCTATCATCTGTTGGACGTGTATAGCTATTGAAAAGCGCAAATGTGACTATACAGTTGACTGCACATTGGTTTTCTCTTTCATATGATACTAAACGCTTTTCGTTAGCTCGTGTCGTTGAAGCGTTTTGGAAATTTTCCGTTTGAGAAGTCACCACATCGAATCAGGCCAGGCTAGGCTTGATAGATCGATCGGTTGTTTGTTTGTGCTTTATCGCGTTGAAAGCTTTTGTGAGTCATAATAAAACATTTATTATGAATCATAAAAGCTTATAATCGTGAGACAAGGAGAATTTGCGAGATAAAACGCCTATGTGAACTAACTTTTTTTCGGTGAGGCAGCTGCGATCAAACGACTCGATATTTTTATACCTTCCTGACGTTGTGAGATGTCCACTCTCCTATGTTATGTAGCATATAAAAGGACCTTCAAAATAAGACCTTATCATACTAGCTTTTGTTATTGGTTAGCGCGCAACGCCAAGGTTTATTGAATTATTTTCTTGCTGTGCGACGTTTTTCTATCGCAGCGGGAAGTACACTCGTGAAATGTAAGCGATATTTTATTACTTCCAAATGTCATATAACGTTCATTCTTATATTGCTGGGTAGGAAATGAGCTATTCTTCCAAACAAGACCATAACAAACATTCCAGACCTCATGGTTTACACACAGCGTCTGAAATTGCGCTAATGCACCCATTCGCTCAGAACAGGTTAAAGTAAATCTATAAGAAAGGTCAATAATCTTATAATAGAAAAGTTATAATACAACAAACCATTTTATCAAGTTCATCTTTGGCTTCATCCATTCTTTCCCTATCATTACTATCAACAACAAATATGATTCCTTCAGTATTCTGGAAATAATGCCTCCACAGTGGACGAATTTTATCTTGACCGCCGACATCCCAAACAGTAAATGAAATATTCTTATAGTCGACAGATTCAACATTAAAACCTGTAAAACAAATTGATATATATTTCAAGCTTAAGTAAAGACGAAAATATCTTAGACCAGTGTGGGAATGTGCAGAAAAAGTTATGCTAAATACTTTTTCATTTAATATTAAGCAATCCATGTTTACTCCTTTGATAATATACTAGAAGAAACTTTTATAATGACACCTAATCAATAGGCCTATAGAAGTATCCGCATTCCAATGGTCTAATATTATACATATTGCTATAAACTATTCAAAAGAGTATATTATTTTGTAGAGCTAACCCTGCTGCCGAATTCCTTATGAGCTTTTCATGGCACCTTCAAGAATGACATTTTTGTTAATAAATTGTCATTTATTCACATCTCTTGGATTAAACAATGAAATACAACGAAACAGGGTTACAGAAGAAAAAAAACCTCATTCATTCAGGTCTTTTGGAACACTACTATACTGGGTGACCCCAGAAAAGGCCTTGATAATTTGGCACTTATGTTCGAAAGAATGTATATGCAAAGCATCCCAGATTACTTAAACTTTTGGGTAAAATCATACACAAATAGAAGTTCCAAGTGTTTTATATAAATTTATAAGTTTTTGTAGAATTCTAAATTTGATTCTTACCAATAGTGGGAATGGTTGTGACAATTTCTCCAAGCTTCAACTTATACAGGATTGTAGTTTTTCCAGCAGCATCAAGACCAACTAAGAAATAATATTGTTCGGGTTAGAGATAAAAACATCGCTTGTGTGGGTATACTGGTATGCATATAGCAAGAAGATGATTCGATGTGACTAAAAATCTTTTGACAAAAGTCTGTTTTCATTAAACTACATGCTGATATGCAGATATGGGTACCGGTACCGTAAAAGCGCCTAACTTCGGACAGTTCCTAACTTCGGACAAAATTTTTGAACGGCCATATCTTGGCTAAAACGCGCCGTATATTGCTAATTTTAATTATTATAGGTTGCGCTGTTATATCTACATCTATTCTCATCTTTTTTAATGTTGCATAATTATTTTTTTGGTAAAAAAACGGAAATTTTGCCGAAAATTGACTGCCCGGCATTCAACGGCGCAGAGCGTCGCTCCTACTCAAGCTATCATCGTCAAAATACCATCATTCGGTAGAGGGCGACAACAATGTATATAATTTATTTGAGTGATCGCAAGATGTCGTACGAGATTTAAATAAAACCTAAAATTCTGAATTATAAATTCCGTAAGAATATTAAGATTTCACGCAGCGTCAAAAATTACGTCAACCTCACGTAGATTATTTTTCGCTCACTTCCGACACGACGTCACACTGCGTCGCGGAAATGAATTTTGACGCCAGACACAACGGAGCCAATATGACAATTTCCGTTAAGATAAAGACGGCGTTCCAATGTAATATTTTTGTATTTTGTTCGGTCATGTATGAATATATGCCAAAATTACATTAATGAAAATACATGTCACACTTAATCGATAACGTTAAGAATCGAATATATAAAACTATGATAATTCCAACGTCCATATGGCACAGTGCACTGACTTAACCATTATTTTATGATTAGTAGTCGAAATGACAGTTATTGAATACGGCCTGGGTGAATTTTATTCACTCGAAATTAAAAATAAATTTAATCTCCAACAAATAAACGGGACCTACATGTTTACAAGATTAAATTGAATTTTAAATTAAACTTTACAATCGGATTTACCGCGTGTTTGATATAAATTATCATTTATAAAGATAACCGCGCAGAATAAAAAAAGCTATCCGTCGGGAATAATTAATACTTCAATAACTTCGATAGAAGCCCGTTAAAATACTTTATTGTGGATTGAAACGGTTTGCATCAGATATATTTACGTATCATTTCCTGATTAAAATGACTAACGTGTTATTATACTCATCTGAAATATGGAAAATAACGAACGAAAGATGTAAACATAGAACGACGGAAGTTTCAAATAATGAATTTTCGTCGTGACGTCAATGTTACGTTACGACGACGAACGAGCGTCTTATCTTCACGCAACGACGTGATTACGTCATCCGCATCGGAAGCCTCCTTCTCTCTGTGCGTCGCGGTTACGCAGTGAAGAAAATGACTGTCCGAAGTTAGGGCAGTGAAGGATAACGGTCAGATGGCAAGAAATATCGATTATTTCAATAGTAAAAATAGTCCAATTGAACCGAAATTTGCAGGGAATGTAAATTACCACACGAATGTTTTACCGAGCCATTTTGGCACCGTTTGGACAATAAATGGCCGAGTTATTGACGAAAGTATAGTAATTTTGTCCGAAGTTAGGCGCTTTTACGGTAGTGCTTAAAATTATCTCAATTTTTGTTACAATATCTCGATACCGGAGGGGTTTTTAATCTAAAATTTTAAAATCCAAATCTTGAGTAGAGTATCATGAGTTTTCTTGATTTACACCTGGTGATGTATGGCACGAGAGAGATTTCTCAACAATAGACTGATAGACGTTAATCAAATAGCACCAGAATTCTGAAAGTCACAGTAATTTTAGACTCTGACACAATAAGTTCCATATTTTGATTATTTAGCCTAAATTTAAAAAAAATTTATAAAGTCAGAATATAGACACGATGGCATATAAAGGAATACAAGCATTAATGTTTATGGAAACTAAAATGTGATAATTCAAAAACATGCCTTTGATTTACCGACTTAACTTGTAACATTGTTATCAATACTGTAATGACTTACCCATTAATATTCTCCTGGGAACTTTGCTAAAAAGCCTCGAAAAAAGGCTGGAAAACGTGAGTCCCATTTTATCTTTTTATTCGCTTTCGCGGACGGCAGCTAGGCTAAATGGTAAACTCCAGTCCGAGGTGAGAAGTTACTGCGACTGACGAAAGTTAAGAATGTATATCAATTATTTATTTTTGTGTTTGTTCGCCGAACGCCCCAATTTATCCTTTTCGCACAAGTATGTCAAGAACGGTCAAATTAAATCAATACAAATAGCTTACAGCAACGGCAACTTCGACAGATTCACGAGTGTGTAAGTTGACTACACACGAATATGACGCGGAGTGGATGACGTCAGGTTTTGTTTAACCTCGTGCCCGTAATTTTTGTTAAATCTTGATTTGTTCGTAAATTGCACACGGGGTATTTTATATATTACCCAATAGATAAAAAAAAGTCGACAGGTGTAAGTATTCTTGAAATTGAGTGGAAATTTGAATACAGGAAATATGATTTTTTGAAAAGATATTGGGAATAAGTGGTGAATGTCTGGGATGTATTACATAATAACCTTAGGTTATTTATATAGCCTATCTTGTGATAAAGTGCGTATGAACTTAGTGTCTATTGATGTGATGTATATCTCGGTGATCGTAAGGTATTCGGCATATGGTAACAATACTAGAAAGATACGATATGGCGCATCATGCTAAGCGTTAGGCGCTTGTCATTACACCTCTAAATACCATACGTGAGCCACATGCTTAGAATCGGCCAAATTTTCGGTATCGGTGGTGTATCGGTATCGATTAAATGAATACCGGTATTTCCGATATATTGATATGATTCAGAATGTTTTAACAAATGAGTTGGAAAACCGATGTTCAAATTATCTCTTTGCTTTGAGGGATCGTAAGCTAATGCACGAACCCACCCCCCTGCGAGTAAAAAGGAAATAGGATTTTGACATGTTCTTAGCTATTTATCAGTCAAACGCTCAACTAAATTGGGTATTTTCGCTGCCAAATAATTTTATTGACATTTTTAATAATAATAGTATATAATTATGAAGAAATATATCAATCGAATATTAGTGGATTTTCTAATGTGTGAAATATTAAATATGTCGTTATATTGACACAAAATCTTGCGCACGTAACTCAATGTATCAATTTGATAAGATAAGTAGGCTTAACATTCATTTATTTTACCACCTTGGTAGCCAAACTTTATGAGCCTGGATGGTCATACACATTGATTATTTCGTATACTTTCTAAAATATTTTCGATATTGGAATTTCGAACACATAGTAAAATCCCCCACATAAATACTATTCACTTTTTTTCAAATCCAGGGACATAGAAATTCGGCTTTGATAATGTTAGCATTGTTAAGCAGTCATAAGGCATGTGTGATATAAATGAAATTGTGATTTTCTTGCTTCTAAGAAAGGAGATTCAATGAGCATTACAGTATTTATACTTATGAATTGTGATGTTAACTGACAAACACAAAAATAAGAGCAACTAGACTCTAGACCCAGTTTTAAATCATACAGAAAAATTAAAATCTTTATTAACAGCACACTCACTTTTCGGCACGGTTTCAAACTCTGAATGTTTATCGTCAAGCGTGAGTGTATTTTAGTCCATCAATATCGTTAAGCTAAATCTCGACACTAATATCTGTCTACACAGGTATTAAATTGTGTTTCCCACACAATTTCCTCATAGAGTTATTGCCGTGGCCGCCCAGACCATCTCGAAATATACGATAATAACTGTAAAATACTAAAAAATAGTGAAATCAAATACATCATCGACGTGTTATAGGTATTTCTTGTCGGCGCTGATTGAAATTCTTTCATGTCGTCTGTAATTCATTGTCGCGACGCACGATCACGATGAAATACAGAACAAAATATAAATATGTGAAAGGTTTACAATTAAAACGTGGATGACGGCGCTAAGATCTGTGAGCGATATTCGATATTCTTATAAACACGAAAAACGATATTCGAAGGTCGCGATACTAATATTAAATTCAACGTGGACATCCCTGCCTATGAGTTTTTTAATTTAACACCGAGATTACTAGCTTTAGTACACAATACATCTAAATCAAATACCGCATCAGAATCCCAAACATCATTTCTTATGATGTATTATTTCCCTTTTTCAATCTGAAATAATGTGTAGTATGAATAATGGACAAAGACTGCCCTGCACACTTGAGGTAATAAATACATAGTAATCGACTTTTTTTGTAATATCGGTTTTGGCGTTCTTAGTTGGTAATGGTATCGGTATCGGTATCGGCGACAAAAGTGGTATCGGTGCATCTCTACTTAGAATCTCGTGTAGAGTGAGTATGTGCGAGAGGACTGTTGGTCTCCCCAACTCCGCAGGGTCGGTTACGGCTTCATACACCATCAGCTTCATGCATCTCAAAATCAATAACTGGCAAACTATGCATATACCCGACGGGTAATCGGAAGAGAGGTCGCGTTACTCTATGTGATTGAGACGTGTTCTCGACTTTCCTCGCATCTGGATAAATGAAAAATCTATCCTAATACGCATTTATGACTTATACCAGAGCTTTCATTTGTCCTTACCGGAATACGAATGAATGGCTGGATATAGCGATCTATTTGAAGTCCTTATTAAATATTGGATTAATGTAGGGTTACCATATTTTTGTGACTTCAAATCGGGACGCCTCGAAAGGCAACGACCCCTTAGCTGTGATTTTATAACTTCACATTTCCGATTTTACTACATAGGCCATAGGCTTAGGCTACATTCCTACAATTAAAGCTGTCTCGACTGTCTTTATTGACCATATTGTTATCGAAATTTCATGCGCATATTCTCTGTCCAAATATCGGATTCAGTTCGAAAAATAAGTAGGGAATTGACGTTAACGATACCGGTACAAATAATTCGAATTTAGACTAATTAGTATTGGTTTTACATGCGATTCGTCTGCCATCAATGGGAATCGAACGCATTCACCTTCAGTAAGTAGGCTACAACAGTAACGAGAACATGTTTGTGTATTATGCTGGAAAAGCGGGACTTTTGACTGACTTATCGGGACGGCGGGACAAAACGCTATAAAGCGGGACTGTCCCGCCTAAAGCGGGACGTATGGTAAGCCTAGATTAATGTAATGAACACCAAAATCAATATTTGATAAAACGTATAAAATACGAGGAAAGTCACTCCATGTGAGATGATAAGGTCAACCCAATCCTACAAACAATCCGTTTATTTGGCAGTATATAAGTAGTTTTATTATTTTTAAATAAACAGTATAATAACAGAACAGTAGATTCAGAAAGAAATGATAATAGTGTACATATAGTGCAATTCAGCAAGATAGAAAATACGAATAAAAAATAAAATACCAGAATAACAAGAGAGCAAAGAACAAATATGCGGAGATAGAAATCATAGTAGCCTACCGTTAAGCACTAGTTTGTCAAGGGCGATTGGTGAAGAATCAATCGCCATGTTTTTCCGACGGCAGTCTGCTGGACGTAACAGAATTGAATTCATGTTCATATATTTGTGCATTACTCTTTAGTATTTGAAAATATGATTTATACAAAAAGCAGCTCGACATAAATGTTACTTGAATAATCATATAATTTACAACTCAGCAGAAGGATCTTCCCATGGCGTTGGAAAATCAACATTGGGATCGTCAAATCTTCGTCGCTTAGACTTTTCTGGATTTTTGACGATGCAATGTGGATTTATTCCGGATTCGTAAGGACCTATAGACAGAAAAGGTTTGTTTTAATTATTGTAACATTTTATGAAAATATCATCCCGCTGCTATTCTAGAGTTAACAAGAGAGCTATGCTCAAATATATGGACACGTAGAGTCACATAATTTTGATGACGTCATAGCAAAAAAAAAGTAATAGCCTTCTGGAACAAATTTTTATCTTTAACCACTGAAAATTTCAAAGCAATTGGTCCAGTATTCGAGGAGAAAAGCCATTTCTTCAAAACGTGTTGATGGAGACAAATAATAACAATAACAACAAAATTTTGAAACGATCGTTATGTCCACTACGTGTCCAATAAACAGACACGGAGTACCGTATTGTACGGACCATCAGACGCATTTTAAATCCCATTTTTTGTAGTGCTTTATGCTTTGTTGCCAACACTCAGAAACAGATCTGGTTGCGTGTTATAGGCCCTCGTGCCTTATGTATAAAAGGCAATCTCAGTGGTTCATTGACAGTGCGCCGTATGTGGAATTGCGCATGTTGATGATTTTTATTCTAACAAAGATTTCTCCGAACGGTAATCAATATAATTTAGCAAGTTCTCTCACCAGTGCAAGCAGCAAAATTGATCATATGTGCAACATAATTTTGCTCGTGCACTCCTGTTATCATGTGCGACATTGGACCACTTGAGAAAGCGACCACATCTTCTGAACTGTGCGATTCGGCATGTAGTGGAATGGCCGATTGAAACTTGTGTCCTTTGTCAGCTGAAATTATAACAAATCATTATAAATTATTTTCCGATTTGAAAACAACTGCAAGTTTTTGTAGTTATTATATTCTTGTTCACTTAATAACAAAGATGTTAATTTTTGTATATTGTTAATATCTGAGATATTTTTCACAAGGAATCATTACATAACCTTCAGGCCAGCCTAATGCCGATTTGTTAGTTCTACTTTTTTACTTATCTTTTGCTATTTGAACTTACCGGCATTTTGCCGAAGAACGTTCGGCCTTCCTCTAGGTGAAAAACCTCCTGCGCCATTTGCGTATCCACTAGTTGTATAGAATTTTCCATCTAATGCTTTTGCCGGTCGTTTATTGCTTGGTGCCAGGCCTGAATGAGGAAAATAGGATTTGCATTTAATAAAATGGCACTAGTTTTAGTTACTAATTATTTTAGGTAATTCACTGCTGAACACATCAATTTTGATGTCGCTGACACGATGACTTTATGTCTTTCGCGACTCCTCGTTATAATTGCGGTCGAAATATTGTGTATCTGTTATTTTTTGCAATTGATTTATCTTTTGCTGTTTGATTGTACAATATTTCATGCACGACAAAAATGAATTTCTGAATTTAATGGACAATTTATTTTTTTCATTTTTTTTATACTTGTCTTTAGCGAACGCGAGGCGTTTGCTATTCCACGGAATCCATAACACTAACATTGAATCTTCCCTAACTCATATCTAGCATATGAACAAGCTTGCTAGTAAAGACATTATTCTCTGGGTAGAAAGATATATGTTATTGACAATTTAAAGTAGAAACTACTTACCTAAAATTGGATTTCCTCTCTTGGCCGTACCACCGCCGATCGTAAAAACATGCCCATGATCAGCTGTCGCAATTATCAATGTATCGGAATCTGATGTAAGATCCTGTGCAACCTTTTTCGGAGATTAAAAAAGAATTATTAATTTCATTCTTACAAAGAAAAGATAAGTCGCGATGATATTGTAATAACTTGTGAATGTAAATCAATGTAACTATTTGTTTATACAGTTGCAGTCCAGCGATGATTGTTGTAGCGCGTTTAAAATCAGACGGCAATAATTGTTGTGCTGTAGTGTGTTGTTACTTCATCCGACTTTTTCACTCATTTTACTATCGGCCCGCTTACTGTTAGCGTTAACAATTCGGTACGTATTTGGTTTCTTCCCTAGCAACATTTACTTTAGATTCATTTTTAGTGTGCTTTAGATTTAAGTTGAATAAAGCCTTATATCAAGGTACTCAGTTTCTAATTCATAGCAGATAGTATGGGAGCTCAATTACTAGTATTCGGGGACAACTAAATCTAATCACGGAAATGAAATATATATATATGTACTAGTGCTAGATGCAATAAGTTTGTGCGCTTGTCGAAAGTTGCTAAATTATAATAAGATATTACGACGCTGAATAGCAATCCCCAGCAGTCATAGCTTAAAAAGCATCCAACAATAGGTATATTTCGCCACGTTTAACTCCCATCGAATTTTAGACTGGTCGGGGGAACGAAGCTATTCGAAATTTTTCTTGCTTACTTGTCAGCTAGTTTCAGACTATAGTTTTAGAGTTCGGACGGCAATGTTAATATTACTTCAAAAACTCAACACTTGCACTTTCATGCTGTGATATACTTTCTACTAGTCGTCTTCAATGGGCTTTCTTACCTTGACCGCCTTCTCCAATTCCATGAATTCTTCAAGGGCATAATGGGCGAGGGATTTGTGATGAGCTTTGTCCAACATCCCTGATTCGACAAGAAGAAAATATCCGTTGTCATTTTTTCGAAGAATCTTGATTGCCTGAAGAAAAATTATTCAAATAACTAATGCACCTTGGCGTATTTGTAGTTCTGCCGTGGTTCAATGTGAAAATAAAGTAGCAATATAATTACAGATAACTTTTAATGTGTGTTTGAAGCAAGTGGCCTTAGTAGTAGCGCAACTGGGAATTAAATCGCTACTGTAGTTTTCTGTCAATCAGTAGTGAATATTTATTAAGTTTATCATTAAGTCATACTTAGGAAAAAAAGTCGAACATAAAATACTAACAAAAGCCGGACTTTGGGCAAACCGATATCGCAGTTGGACGAATTTACTGGCGATAGACCGACTGATAGGCGTTGGAAACCAACGTTGCTCATTGCCGCTGCTTGAGCTGGCTTTACTAAACAATTTGAAGCACTCCAGACTTCAAAAAACTAAATTGAAAAAACTGAAGGTGTAATTTTCATTTTATCCGTCTTTTGTCTAAAACTGACTTTTTTACTGGTTGGAAAAAATTACCTTGACTTGACTTTTGACTCTCAGATCATAATAGAAGGTACCATTGTTTAATTATTTGTGGTCTTTTCGGTAAATATACAAACCTGGCGTAACATAAATATTAATTTATTTTTGATTTTTTTCTTACTTTCTCTGTCATTTCTGCTAAACTTGGTTCGCCAGCTGGGTCGGATTTTCGTTCGAGTGAGAATTGCATTTCGAATGGACTAAACAGTCCCATCAAATAATCTGTCTCATCAGGATCGACGTCATCAAATTGTTCTTTATTCCAAACGTATCTGAATCAGAATAATTTACATTAAACCAAAAAAGGCATGACATTTCTACATCGCTATATTGTATACACAAAAATATTCACGTCAGGTTGATGAACGTAATAGAGAAACGAAATAGAGAATTGCTGTAGTCATTTAAAACGAAAATAAATATATGGAAACCAGCGTTCGATCGCTTTAAATCTGGATCGCAAATGTATGCACGATATGTTTATAAACGATTTTCTACAATATTAATTGTTGTAGGGCATTTGAATGCCAAAGATTTTGCGTATTTTACAAATGAGTCAAGTCTCTTGAATTTACACAAGACCTATCAACTTACTTTGCACTGGACCCAATTTTGTTTTCAAGCCATTCTTCGATCAAGTTTTTTCCGTCTCTTCTGTCACCTCGGCTACCAGGCGATGAATATTCTTCATCCGGATATCCCACTGGTCTCATGTGAACACGACCTCCTCCCAATACAACCTTAAGATAAGCAGAGTTAATCAGCACTTGCCACATTTTATTGAGCAATTGTGTGAAACAACGTATAAAAATCAACTTTAGGTAAATGTGCCCGGAAAAAATTCCAACTAATCCTTATTACTAGGAATCTGCGAAATTTTATTTCAACTTTTATTATTATATAGGATAGCATAGAATTTACAGGTTACCAGTCAATGTCGGGTATGGGATTAGTCGGTCGAATATTTATTTTCGGAAGCATGGACTTGGAGGCTTCTTTTCAAAAGCATTTCATCTTATTGAAATCTTACGTTTATTTTTCTTCCCATGTCTACGAGCTGAGTGGCGATATCTTTGCATCCTTGTCTTTTTACTGTAGCTGACATGTAGGCATCAGAATACCAACTTCTACTTGGTACTTTAGCATACGCTCCTGCTGGGGTCGCGTGCTGAACTCTAGTTGTTGTTACGATACCAGTTGATCTTCCTGGGAATTGAAAAAATTTGTTCATACAAGGTACATGTTTTTTTTCGCAAATGAAAAGTTATATTTATTTCGGCATGGACCACAGTCCAGCAATAAAAGTTTCTTGCGCTGAATAATTAGCCCTCTAACGTCAACCAAGAATCTTCACAAGTTAATTACGTATAAATTTCATAGAGACATTTTTGTATGACATTTTTACACGCTTTCCAGCCTGAACAGCCTTCGCACAAGCATTCCAATGGGTAAGAAACTACTGTGTATATCTTGCAAAAAACGGTATCTTCTCGGGTCGGGACCGCCTTGCCAGTGTAGCACACCATGGGTGAAGCAGTGGGAAATTATCCCGGGATTTTAATATGAATCTTTAACATAGTCAGGTTCAACAATTGATTTCGATTTTCCTCTCAAACGCGATGCAAGTACAAATGCCAAAGAAAATCGAGTAGTTTATGAATATTATAAACATCATATATATAATACAGGGTGATGCCAAAAAGGGGAGCCCATAGGCTGTATATGTTTCAAATGACCTGGGTTTTGTTTTTTGTGCCTACCTCTGATGTACCTCTACCAAAGTCAAGTCAAATTCCAATGTTTAGCTGAAAATAGCTCAAGGTATGCGCTGAGATTACGATTGGGTTTATTTTTGGCACGAGGCTTATTGTTCTACACTTTTGCTTTTGTAACACTATAAATATTGTCCATGAAATGTAGGTTTTTACGTCACCTTTACATGGCCCGCCAGTCTAGGTGAGCAAAGTTTTTGTCCCTGGTCCAAAAACCTTGCACACCTCTGGCCTACCTATACTAGACTTCGAAAAGGTTACAGTTTCAATACCTGCCATGGCTGCGTTTTCAAGCACTGATGCTACCCCATTTCTTTTTGCAGCATTACAATTTCCAGGCTGAACTCTCGCGCTTACTCCGAGCATAGACGATCTTGTTTTGACTCCACATAAATATGCAGTAGCTGTAGATGCACTGTCCGGTGTTTGATGGTCAACTAAGATAAATAAATCACTTGTAAATGAAGTTTTTCAGGCCACAATTAATGAAATATGGAGAAAGTCAAATATTTTCAGTATTGCTGACTGGAAGCAGTTTCGTATCCCAGTTCTGTTTTCCGGGTCATTCCGGCCCTACATACTCGTGTCTTGTTTAGTTATATTTTTTTGTCTAGGGCAGTTTTAAGAAGGTTTTCATCAGAAAATTCAACAGATTGCCCTTTTCAGACGTAACTCCCCTCTTTCCTTTATTGTTTTCGGACAGTTTTTCATTAGGTTGTGATCGTAACCTTTCACCAAATGATATTTTTTATCGCATTTCACTAGGTCTACTAACATAGAGAGTAGTATCATAATTACTTCGTACTATATTCACTTAAATTTTCATTTTGACGAGGTTTAGGTAAAGTATATCTCACCGCTGTATGTTTTCAACAGGCCATTGTGTGGCATCCTATCTAGTGACGTAAAGGCTTCTTCGCCATGCGCGTTCCTCCTCTCCCTTTGCCCTTTCAGTATTCTACCTGCAACCACTGTAGAAAGACTCATTCCATCGCCGATAAATAAAATAACATTCTTTGCCTTGTTTGTGTTCAAGTTATTGAACTTAGTGACTGTCTCTTCGACATCTGCTGCGCCCATGTTGTTCCAGTAATCTGCATTGAATTCCTTTCTGGGTAGCGGACCTGTGACAATAACGTTTTTGTTTATTGAGTTTTTAAATATCCTACAATCAGTAATCCGTAATTCATTTTTTTTACATACTAAAAATAATTTTTGTACGGAGATTATATGGGAAAAAATAAAAAATAGCGTCCCAGGGCGAAGAGAGGCGCGGAAAAACAATGGTGGTTATCGGACTGCACCACCCGTGATTATTTCTAACAGTAATTGACACGCAAGTAGAAAAAAAGTTGAAATTACATATTAATAAAAATTGCGTCAAAAAACCTACGGTAATCTGATATATATAACAACAACAAAAACACCGAGTCATACATGCAATGTTAAGACGAATAATAGAATAATATTGAATACACATTTCTCTGGGAAAGTGAAGCCGCGGGGAACCAGTGAAATGTGTATTCAATATTATTCTATTATCCGAGCACTGGCAATATTTATTTACTGGACAAGAAGTGAGTATTAGGATTACATTTCATATTGGCTTACTAAAATACAAATATCATCATACCTTGACCAGCTGCTCCGTGGAGAAAAATCACCACGAATACCCAACATGGGGTCTTGAAAATCATCTTTGGACTTGAGTTTTGTAATAATGAAACAGTAAAAACGTCTCTTAAACACACGATTTCTTCGTACTTAGTTTAAATGTGATAATTAAAAGTATAATACTGTAAGAAAAGTATCTCATAAATTGAAATATTCCGAACGAAGTATAAAATGAATCTAGTTTAAAGTGATTTAGAAAATGTTCACAGGCGTAAATGTGCAATTCATGCTTTTTATCGCGGTTAGAAATCTCAATTTAAAAAAATCTGGTACGGTTCCGGAATTCATCTTATGCACACTTACTCAATCAGAGCGTAAATATTGGTTCAAAAACCACTGAACAGGAAAGAATACGAGTGTGCGCGATTAGATATTTCCCAATAGTTTTATCTATAACCAAACGTCAACGAAAAGGAGAACTTAAATGAACGTCATAAAGACAAGTGAAAGCTCTAATCTAAAAACAAACGCTCTATGTGTTTATTTACACGAATATAATTAGATACGCCACTGTGGAGCGCGTTAAGATTTTTTCTAGCCTTTTATTACCGTTCGATTACATAATTTATCGTCGATTTTTGACTATATACAGTATGACTATTTTTTGAGGAAAGTTTTTTATTACTCATACCTCGGCGTTTACACTTCGCTTCGCATTAAACTGCGCATTATTCACTTTTCCGTGGCAAAATATTATGACATAATAGACTGTCATTGCATGTACCGAGATCCTTTTAGTTTCGTCAGAAGATAATTCACTCTTCTGTTTAGAAAACTTATACGCCGGGCCTGATTCACTGTACAATGCTAAATCTAAGGCTTGTTTTTGTAAGGACGATTATGGATATTAATCAGTATTTATTTTATCACCATGAAGAAAATACACTTTATGCGAACAATAGAAAGAAGAGCCTCGAATAAAGCATTTTAGTGTGAAAGGTGGCCCAGGAAACCAAAACTTTTTAACGTGCAGCGACACCAATGATAAAGTCTAACAGTAATTAATGAATAAAGAAAAAAAAAGTTTAGAAAAAACAAAAACGAATACATACAAATGATGGTTGATATTAATGTAGTGCTAGGTCCAGCATTGATTGGTTGGTTAAGTTAGCCCCAACGACGAGTTTTTATATTTGTTTTCTCTGAAAATCATTTTATCGTTGCTGTTTGTACAAAATGATTTATATATCTCAGGAAACTGATGAATCCTCAACAATTTTCGCAACTGATGTAATAATAAAGATGCTAATATAATATTAAAATTACTTCTTATACTCCGCGACATGCTTCTATAGTACCGCAACCCACAGCTAACCTGAATATAAAGAAATACCTTATCAGTGAGTATACTTGAATTCTTCTCGGCATTTATTCATAAAAGAGTCGTATGCGCATTTTTATTGTAAGCAATTTTACCAGCACAAATAAAACATATTGGGTGACTATTATGATAAAGACACTCATATGATATTAAAATTAATTATTCTTTACCGCGACACCTTCAATAGCTTCATCCAACACCCAACCTAAATCCCTTTTCTGTGCTTGAACTCCCCCTTTCTCAAATGCATCGATGAAACATTCGAATATTTATTGATTTTTTTCAATGATCTTTCAGCAAAAATAGTTGACAAGTGTCTAACACTGACTTTGTCTAACAGGTAATGACATCTGGAGCGCAGAGCAGGTCTATAGAATGCTGATATGAAAATTCATCGTATTCTGTTACATTGTATAGATGACTATATTGAATGACAATCCTATAATAACATGTCACAGAAATCTACATAGTCGTTATGCATTTCCTGTTTAAAGGGATAGAATTTCGTAAATTAAACGTTCGGGAAGAATTAGAGCATCGTTGCAAGTTGATTTCCCGTTTAGATGGACGTCACGGCACAAATTTATCATCATTACATTTGAAAAAAATCCATGCACAAATTAATATTCGTCGCCCTTCGAGAATGGTTTTGTCATTTTATCCACCGAGACTGAATTTACATCATAGATATGTAATGGTAACATGGAACTGCTATTTCAGCACCTAATTCTTTTAGTTTGCTTTCTAATTTGAAGAGCCCCGTTTCATTTTAAAACGTTTGAATAACACGGATAGCGAGTCGAGATATAATTATGTCAGTGGGGATTATCGCAAGCTTGATTTATCTTTTACTCGCTATGGTAAGATCCCAAGCAGATTTACAGGAGTTCGACCAGGCGCAACTCACAATATATATAAAGTGATTTTTATAGTCTTCAAATTCTATATCTTAGATATTGTTAACAAAATATTCAACTCGCAGAATTCGTCGCTAACCAGATGCAAAATCTACAGAAAGGATACTAACTAACACCTGTCCAAACATTCTATTGAATTTTCTTACTTTTATTTGAACATATATTCTGTAGCGTCGGATATATATCTACCTAACTCAAATTTCATAATAGAGTAATCACTATATACAAGGTGGTCGCTAGAAAAGCAGAAAATTTGAAGATGAAGATGATTTGAAATTGTTAGATGAGATCACAAATGCTTACAGGTATAGGTGGAATTGGAACGATATCCCACAAGTTAACCGTTAAAGCATTTGAGCATTTATAAGTAGAATATAACATATACCTTTACAAAACTTTGTAAAAGTTGTGTTTTGTCAAAATAAATAGCTGTTTGACAAATTTTCTGTTTTTCTAGCTTCCACCCTGTATCATTACATTCATCACGAGCACCATATTAAAATTACATTATCTAGTTGTCGCCTGGTAATTATTCAAGCAACACCTATACAAATATTAAGTTTTTTTATCAAAAATATTTAAAAATCAGTACATCATCATCACAAACCGGAATAAATCTCTTAGTAAATATGTGCATTTCGTTTGGAAATTACCTTTATATACATCTTACATGTTACGCTCTGGAGTTATTCGTAAAGTATGAGTAATCATTGCTGAATATATTCATACATGAAAATGTCAATATACGCTATTTGCGCATTTCCTAGTTTTTACCTAATATGACATTTGGGTTGGATATTTGAAAAAACTTACGTCGTTTTTGCGAAGTATGTTATGTCATCGATGACGCAAGCCGGAATTTTGCTTAGTAATATTTGTCTTGAATGAATAAGCTTGTTTCATCGTGTGCTCACACCAAGTGAAGGACTTCCCAACGATAGGGTATATGAAATAGGAGGTATTAGGCCGACTGGGTTTCTTAAGGCAATCTCTACCGATAACAATTTGTTTTGGAATCGAAAGTTACCACTGTGATAACAAACGGATATTTCCTTTTCGATGAAACCACTGGAATGTGAAGAAAAAACTTTCGAATCTAATTCCAATACTTATTCCGTACAAATGAAAATGATAATCGAGTGCAATTACCTTTAATATGACCTACAGACCTAGTAATATGCTTGAGTGTTGCTGTGAAAAACTTCCCTTTGAACAGGCATGGGGATGCTATGCTTTCATTGACTCACCAAAAGAAATCTGTACCGGGCCTAAGATGTGTAAATGATACCTAACCAAAAAATATGTAAAGACGTATTGCAGAGAGCCGAGTGTATGACAAATTTTAATCGATTTATAAGGGCTTTTGCGCTTGAAAACATTTTAAATAACCAGGCCCCTAATTTAACTTTTAGTTACAGTCATATAAGAACATGTAATAACAAGTTTTGAATTTAATACTGCGATATCTCTCTTATCCATTCAAATTGGTAAAAAAAATTTGCTCCAAGTTTCTTGGGTAACTGGAATTGGTCCTTAGGCTAAATTTTGTGTTCGCGCTAAGTGCTCTAAGGCTAAGCGAGCACGTGGTCAACTAAATATCAATATGGCACAGGTCAACACTTCCTGCATTAAAAAAATATTCTCTCGTTTTTAGCAAAGGTCAGTTGCAAAAAACACTGCATTATAGAATATGACGTCATATGTATACTTAGATTCAGGTGCATACATGCGTGGAGATTGCTCACTTTCAGTTCTCTGACCAAAATGAAACTCCACAAAAACGTGGGAAATGTGTTTCGACACGAAAATTTGCACGCTTGCCCAAAATAATTGCAATATTATTCCATTCTATTTTTGTTACTATTGACATAATCGCTTTAAAATATAGTTAATTTTTCTCTGCACTTTATTGTTTTATTTTTATTTTCCTGGTTGTTCGTGATGAAGACACGAAAGACAATATACATCTACGATGAACGATACCATACCGAATAGAAATGAACCGATGTATCGGCATCGGCCATTTTTTGATATTGGTAATTGCATCGGTATCGGCTTAAAATAAAATACAGACGTTAAAACATATTGCATTTATTCATCATTGGAATGGTCGAATCAATTATATTTGTTCCGATGGATTCAGTTTCTATTAATTGTTTTAAAACTCATGTTCTCGCTCATTACTCACGCATAAAACACCCGCTTCCGTTAAATGTCATCGAGGTCAAAAGTTTGCATCAATTTCTTCATAATTTCGTCGTCAAATAGTAGTTTCACTTACATGATTACATCGAAAGTAGAGAAAACGCAATAAGAAGTAGTATAGCACAACTTTTGTATTTTTAAACTTATATATGTAGTGAGACAACAACTATCACGCCAATGTATTACTGCGTGTTGCATGTCAATTATAAAACAAGAGAGATACGCCCAAAAATATGGACACGTCTGTTCGCAGTACAGTACGGTCTACCGTACCGTCAGGTCACAGTCTACAAATATATTCACACCAATCGAAGCAGTACAGTAGGACACAAAATGGCGTCCGATGTCCGCAGAACGTTTAATGACGTCATAGCAAACAAAAACAAATCTCACAGAGCTAACAGAATATTTAAAATGAATAAAATTAATAGCCTTCTGGGGAAAAAATTTATCTTCAACCACTTAAAATTTCAAAGCAATTGGTCCAGTCTTCGAAGAAAAAAGCGGTTTTTTAATATTTCCACTAGGTGTGTTATTCTGTGTCAAACAACAAGAACAAGAACAACATAATATTGAAACGATCGTTATGTCCACTACGTGTCCAATAACATGAGGGCGATGCTGAAATATATGGACACGAAGACCAAGAAAAGAAGTAGTCTACCTTCGCTTTGACAGTACCGGTGCCCCATATCGTCAAAAAACTTATGAATTTCGCGTAACAAACATGTGCAGAATCAATGCGGACAAACGGTGTTCCCATGAATAAAAATAATACAGCCTTCTAGCGGAAATTACAGTCTTTAACCAGCACTGAAAATTTCAAAGCGATTGGAAGCATAAGAATACTAACACGAACAACAACAACATAATACCAAAACGACCGTCATGTTCATTTGGTGTACAACAAATCCTTTTGCTAACCGTGGGATTGCTTATATTATTCTTGAAGAATATATTTATGTACAAATATGTGCCTCAGTGGGATCACGAATACTTTGCGGTATACAATATTTCACGCATGTTACGTACAATTACGTCTCATGCGTAAGGGAGACACACCTTGCCAAAAAGAGTATCAAATTAGTGAAGTAGTATTTTACTGATACCAATTATGTTATCAAGGGCGCAGAGGTCTAACATAGATCTTTGAAAATTTTCAATCCATATAAAGTGTTACTGTTTTTATTTATTAAAATATTATTATGACGTGCAACGTACGTAATAATATTTAAATATTGGAGATTAATAACATTTTGATCACTATTTCAAAAAACAAAATAGTGATAAATAAACTTTTATCATATTAAAATATATTTAATCTATGAAAACGCGAAATTAGACAACCACAAAAATAATATGGTGTCATGTTTTCCATACACCGAAAGTTAATCCACGTAGCTCAAATATTTATGACATTCTCGTTTTACGCATCAGTTTCCAAAACTAATATTTTTTTTTATTGTTTGACGTAGCTCAAATCATTTTTGACATTTTTGTTGTGCGAATCACATTTGTATTTGATATTTTGTAAATCAATCATATATTCAATGTTGTTATTTTAAGTCGTTCATTGAAAATTTATAATTAAAAAGTTTTTAACCTTTCACAAGAATAGATTCATCAATATTATTAAACCAAACTTGAGTTAGTATATTTTATAAGTTATACTTTGATAACTCCCTATTTTGAAATGTTTTTGAAACTTTTCAAATATTTTATGATAACAAAACCCGAAAAATGTATTTTTCCTAACCTAATGAAATTTTTTCAAATATTTTAGTTTCTGGTAAACTTTGATTTAAGTAGACGTGAAATGAAAGCAAGATGCATTTTTACTGGAATTAACATTTGCAATTTGTATTTAATTTTATTCTCCTAAGTCCTAAACACTGGCATGTTATTTAACTTCGTAATCATACAACTACGTAAGTTTTCCCGTTATAGGCGTCAAAGTTACATCAAGAGCGCATGGTGACAAATATTACGCGGTTTCAAGTTATCGTCATCAATAAAAAATGAATTATTACATCACTGTGGTTCTGATAATTGGCATATTTTAATGACTAAATATATTTTGAAAATTTATGTTTTCACTTTATTGTTGAAACTGTGTCACTGATACCAATAATAAAATTTGTTAAACGATTATTAACGTATAATTCGATAATTACAAACATCTTTCTAGAATCTAGACCAGGGATGTGCAACAGGCGGCCCACTTTTCCCCCATCAAGCATAAAATCCTCATCTGATTTTTGCGCTTGTCGCCGCGTTGAATCTTTCGCCGTTTCCCCCCTGTGACTATTGGAAGGGTAAGTGATAGCCGCATTCTCTTCTGGTTGTTGTCGCTCGGGTGCCGCTAATTTTTTAATTCGCTGCTGATCTCACTGCTAATATTTTTTTGTGGGAATGTTGGATAATATATACTGTAATATATATATATATATATAGAATGGTTTATTAGGATTTTATACGAAAAGTTTTGTGATATCAACAGCTCTTATATGTTAAGAATAAACACATCTGCAATTTGTCCAAAGATCGCCAACGGTAAATGGAGCTTTCCATATTATCAGCATTTGCCCTCAAGGAATGATTTAATAAAGAAGGATGAAGGTTCTGGAAGGCTATTGTAATTATTATATATGTCCATAAAGTCCCATTTTTTAAGAATTGCGAAGAGAATTTATCGATATCATATATTGTTTTGACCCTTATTAAATGAAGTTAAAATACTTAAACAATTACTGATTATAATACAACAGACCTGATTAAGATATATTGAGAACTGACTTCATACCAAAATTGAAGTTGAAAAGGAACTTCATGGACACCCTGATATATTTTTTCTCTCTTCGAGTTTAACTATGAATCTCGATATAAAGAAAATTTAGCTGTTTTTTTCGAATATTGCTTTGACAACAGAACAGCCCGACATATTGCACGACAAAGTCGGCACCCAATGCTAACCGATATTGATGTGAACTGCTGCAAAGGCGGTACTTGATTTGCAATTTTATTTGAATTTTTATTTGCATTTTGAAGATGTTTTTTTTATCCTATATGCTTCAATGCTATATTTGCTGCTGTAATACAGCAACAAGGTGTCGCTGACTGGATGACTCATTGAGTCTTCCGCGACCCCGTGTCAATTGCTATCAATCAATGTTGTTCTCGTTTTATTAGTTTACTGTGTTTTTCTTTTGCGTTCTATTGATTCTTGCATGGCTAAATAAAATATCTGAATCTGATTCTTTTAACCACGCTTGAATATCTGCCTGAGCGAAAGAAGTGTCGGAGCGGCCGAACAACATGTAATTGTCGCGTCGCTTATTGCGCTTATTCGGTCATTGTTACGAAAATACACAAGGAAATCGATGCTCGAGAAAACATGAATTGCCTGTAGAGGCGGGGATTTGGTTTGCATTTTCAATTGACCAGATAGCGGATTGTAGTGCAAGTGGGATAACTGCCGCCAGTAACTGGGCCTCCGTGTCCATATACTAGAGCAGTCATTTTCAACCAATTTGGTTGAGCAGAAGCCAGTAGGCTCGGGGAATCCCTGTACAATAGTTTGATATTTTGTTATTGTCTGAATTGTGAATAACACAACAATAAAATCAGACCAAAGCAAGCGAATCAAAATGAACTTCAAATTGTTGCAAGTTTAATACGGGTGGCAAACCTAAAGGTATTTGATTATATTTAAACAATAAAAACATACAGATTTTCAATTTGAATGAAATCTCCCGGAAGTCCTGACATGCCGCGGAATTCCGGTTGAAAACCACTTTATTAGAGCACTGCTGTACTATTTAATTGACTTTTTCAAACTTCAACTTTGAAAAACAAATGTTTACAGAAGAATAACGTGAAGTAAATGACTAATTAGGGATATTGCGTCCACTCATAAGAAAGCCTTTATGTGAATATGATCCCTATGTCTTTAATTTGTATATATATATGTATGTAATTTGTTATCCTAATATAGTTTCAGTCTGGTCTATGTAGGTTGAAACTGTAAACGAGCGAAGTTAGAAAGTATCCAAAACGAACACAAACAACACATAGAATGTTTAATCATCTATTTTCTTCCGACACTAACAGAACTCATTTTGTTATATAATATAAATTCAGTCTGGTCAATTTATATTAAAACTGGAAGCCAACGCAGTGGGATAATAATTCAAAACAAAAAACAAGGCGAAGAAAATTATTATTTGATGAAATATCAATACTAGCTGATTTGTAATCTAGAAAGTCAATCCATGGTCTGCTCTTATACAGTGGTTAGAAATTGTTAAATTGGTCGAATTTTCATTTCTGTGAATTTGAGAGAATAATAGTTTTTCTTCCAGCTGCGCCATACCAAGCCATCTGCGAATGATTCTTGAACTCCGCTTTGGAAATAATGACCATTTAAATTGCTTGCATGGCAGTTTGTGTACCACCACGCCCCTTTATAAGAAACCGCGCAATTCCCAGAATGTATATCGTTGTCTTGATCTTTAGTCGAAAATCTATGACCGTTGTGGCCACTCAAAGAATCTCCCGCGTCTCCAGTGTACCCTCCAACGGTGAGTGCATATTTCGATTTCGGTCCTCCTATTTTGAAGTTTCTGTGAAATTAATGCCGATGTTTAGGATTTAAAGTACAATTAAGTTAATCATATAAAGCAGGGATGTGCAAGGGCCACAACCCGACCATTTAGTGTGGCCCTTAAGAATACCTCCCCCCCCCCATGAAGCATAAAATTCTAATCCGACAGTTTATGTTAACAGCTGATATTAACGAACTATGCATGAACTCAAAATTTAAATTGTCTAACTAAAATGTTAAATGAATAATATTTTTCATTGTGTTAATTTTTTAATTGTTGTGTTCATAAAAAAGTCTATTTTTTTTGTGATCCGGCTAGATGCCTGAAGTTGGTTATATGGCCCACCGACAAAAAAATGTTGCACACCAATGATGTAAAGTAATCGAATGACTCTTACGAATATTTCGCATATTTCCTATTTCCTTCCCAATCTTCTAAATCGATACGAAGTTCGTAGTCATTATCACGAGTCAGACGATGAAGATTCTCCAGGCCTTATAAATAGTTAAAATATTGAATGAAATAACTTAATTACGACATCCTTTTGGATATTTTCAAGACTCACCAAACCAAAATTCATCATCTTTGTTTCCAAATCCATTTACATATTCATTCCAAGTTCTATAGAAATCCGTTGAGCCACTTGAACGTCGTTGGAAAACCTTAAAAAAAGCAACTACACTTGATAATAGTAACGTGGCAACCTCATACATCCAGACCATTATTATTAATAACTAGGCTTTAATTAGACCCATTACCGGCTAACATACAAAGACGGCCTATATAACTGAACAGCATTGGCGTATCCAGGACATGGTCGACATGGCGCAGTTTGGACAGGGGCGCAAAAAGACGACAGTCTTAATCGTAAAATCTTTTAACAAATTTAATTTCAAATTGGAAATGTTTAAAACTCGTGTGTTTTTAGTGAAATATAGTTACATACAAGTATCAGTCGTTAAATTGTAAGTCAACGATTAATGACACGCATTTTAAAATCTTGCATGCGCGCTATTTTACGTATACGCCACTGCTGAACAGAGAACCAAATGGCAGACATTTGCAGATAAGCCTCATTAATCTAGATTAGAAAGACCGGACCAATAAGAAGTATTTAGGGTGATAATCATAAGCGTTGAAGGAAGATTAAAATAATAACCAGTAAAACAAACTTTAACGTGAACACACAATGAATTGCGATAATGTATTGTTGTAAACATAGTGATTCCTCACCATCCAACCCCCACCGTCAGTTGTTAGATCACAGAATACTTCAAGCTTTGAGTAAGCTGGGTAAATATCAAAAACTCCACCGGTTTCCTTCCAAATTTTTGCATCATTCTTAGTTACTTTTCCACAGTCGGAAAAAGTTAGAGGTCTCAATTCTGCCATGAGAGAATTGAATAATTCAATTTTAGAGTGAAAAAATGAAAAGCTATCAATAACATAACAATGCCGGTTTTAAAATGAAGGCACTGCGACAACGGTCATCGAAGCACAAATTACGCGAATCACATGAATAAAACTGAGATTGTATTTTAAATTGATGGTCTCCAAGCATCAGTGAAACGTATAAAAAAAATTTCAATATTGATCAACCGTTGTGAGCTACCTTCATAGACCCGCGTTTTGGCGTTTATTTACCCTTCGTAAGTGGGTAACTGCCATGCGAAGTTAGTTACAGATATCGGTATGAAAATCCACTCCCAATATTATATGAAACAACAATGGTTAAATTGATCCAAGACGCCGAAAGGTTGGAAGAAGTATGATTGTGTTTACTTTTAGTCGAATAGCCGAGTTGTCTAATGCGCCCTACTCAAGAGTCGTCCATTTCACCTTGACAAGACTTAGCTTCTCTGCTGCGTCTGCGGCTATGATTATTTTGAATACAAACCTTGAGCCACACGAATCAATTCTGAAAATTTTCTTTCTATCTCAGATGTGTTGTTCAACATCTTTTCCTCGATGTTGGTCATCTTGGTTTTGAAACGAACCTCCATTGCTGTAATAGTATACAATCTTTCAGAGATAACTGAATTCAAAAAGCATCTTTGATGTGGCCTGCACCAAGGGGAGAGGTATAGGATCAGTCGACCCGGGAAACACACTGTAGGGGCGAGTTCGTTTCTTATTTAACTATTAATACAAACATTTCCCTATTATTTGGCTTATTTTTGGAGTTATGTATGAGATCATTATCAGAAACTTGCCTTGGGAAGCAGAAAAGTTTGATACGATCCCGCCTGCTCCTAATCCAGATCTATCACATAAAGCTGTACCTTATGATTGGCAAGGGCGCGCTTCAAATACTTCTCCTCAAAAATCGATCGCAATTTATAAGCCTAATGTATGCTTTCATGTAGTGTTTTATACTTTATTGCCTACACTCAAAACCAACACACTCCCTATAGTCCGCAATATGCGGTAGTACACGACTTACCGTTGAATTTCTTCTGCATTTCCTGTTCTATCTTTGTATAGTTAACTATGCCTGGTGGTCCACGTGGTCCCGCTTTACCAACTCGCCCTGCGTGAGCATGGTCTGGTCGAGAATTCGAGCGTAATGTGACCTGTCTTGTACAATATTCATGCATTTGATAAACTTGGGAACAAAGACCATCGTCAGGCAATGAATCGGTCATTGAAATCAGACAAATAATCAACATTGCAAATGAACTATTTACCATGCTGTATCGTTTGAACCCTAGATAAGTCATAATGCTAGAAAAATCACAAGAGTTTGTTATATTTTCGAATAAAAATACTAAATATAATATATACATCATACTTAACAAAAATATAAAGTCGTAAAAATACGATCTTAAAAATAGAATAGGAAACTTTTATTTTTCTCCACGCACAAAAACTGAAACAAGGCCATACTCTATCTAAACCAGGGCTTTTCAAACTGGCGATTTTGACATTCCGGTAGCAAAAAGGCTAAGATCGTGATAAAATCTTTTTCGACACTAAGTTATGTTTAAACCAAGATTCGATCATTTGTGCGAAAATATGCAAGAACTCAATAAAAGTTTGGCCATGCCAAGTGGGTCGCAATGAAAAAAGGAAGAACACTGTTCTAAACTAAAGCAAGTTTTACTAGCTATTCAGATGATTTATATATTATATAGAACTACTGATAGATCTTCAGATATTTATTGACCCTTTGAATATATATTGTAATAATAACTCGATCATTATGCGCTATGTTGAACAATATACGAGGCGTTGCGTTTATAGCTTTTGTTTTAAATCACTTTCGTTTTTCATTTATTTGTATTACTCCATGCTTTGAATGACGACGATTTTATATTCAGGCCAACGAAAAATACGTATACTTATATACGTAAATATATATACTTTCGTCCAGCGTATTGTACCACACACAGCATTCAAAACTAGGGAAACCTACTAACACTGATTGCTACGTGATAATACGCCTTCTAACTAAAAATTAGGCGTCATGGTTTTAAGAAACGTATTTGCTGTCTACGATTAAGATGAGAAAGTCAACAAGCCAAAGTGGATGGAAAATTCCCATATATTTGAGATTGGAAAAGATCGGAAAATATCTGACATTTCACGGTAGTTGTTGTACTATTTATTACATTGATTAGAATTATCTTCAACTAAGTTAAACAACTTGAACTATGCATTTACGGTCAAATAACGATTAAATTTGATTATGTTATACTAACAGCATACTAATACAAACTCATATCTGCGGCAGACCAGCCGATTGTTTTACTGCAGAACTTCATTTGGAACAAACTGTACCGAGTCTAATATATGATTATAACTAACAAATTTCTGATGTGAAATTTTAAACCAGATTATATCGATGTAACAGATGATGTCACGAAAACCGGCCTACAAAGAATAAATTCATATTTATTCTGCATTTCTGTAACAGTAAGATTTTGTGTGTGGTTGACTTTAACAATAATAGGTGTCATTCGAAACATTTTATATAAATAAACAGAACACTAGTCTATCTTCTTGTTACCGTCAGTTTAAATTATTATGTTGTGACGGATAGGAACCAAGACGTATTGCATGCAGATAGCGCGTGTGTGACGAAAAAGGTTGATCGATTTATAAGGGCTTTTGCACTTGAAAACATTTTAAACTTAACCAGAACCCCTAATTCATCTTCAATTACAGTCATATAAGAACAAGTAAAAAGACGTTTTAATTTAAATACCGCGATATCTCTCTTATTAATCCAAATTGGTAAAAAAAAAGTGTCCCAAGTTTTTTGGGTAACTGGAATTGGTCCTTGGACTAAAGTTCGTGTTCGTGCTCTAACACGTGGCCAACTAAATATCAATATGGCACAGGTCAACACTTCTTGCATCAAAAATATATTTTCTCGTTTTCAGCGAAGGTCAGTTGCAAAAACACTGCATTATAGATTATGACGTCATATGTGTATTTAGATTCAGGTGCCTACATGCGTGGATATTTCTCACTTCCAGTTCTCTGACCAAAATGAAACTCCACAAAAACGTAGGAAATGCGTTTTCAATATGAAGATTCGCACGCTTACCTTGAAATACTCACAATATTATTATATTCTATTTTTGTTACTTTAAAATATAGTTAATTTTTCTCTGTACTCTACGACTTCCGACTAGAGATCAGCCATTTTTCATTATTGGTAATTGCATCGGTATCGTCAAAAAATAAATACAGACGTTAAAACCTATTGCATTTATTTGGAATGGTCGAAGTTTCGTAGCAATTATATGTGTTCCGATGCATTCAGTTTCTATTATTTGTTTTTAAACTCGTGTTCTCGCTCATTTCTCACGATTTAGTTGTTTTGATAGCAATAGCAGCACGGCTGAAAATCCATCTTTCACCATATCAGAGGTCGGAAATGAAAGAATCCAGGGTTCTACCTCCTCAAAAACCGCCGTGTACTCTTGCATTCAACTCACCAAATTCACCCCATTCCACATTAAAATAATAAAAAAAAAATGAATTTTCCAAAACTCATAATAATGATTTTCGTACATCTCATTCATTCCTACGGTCTGATGACCTTCATCAAAATACATGATATATAACGATCTTCGGTAAAATTCATCCCTGATTCCTCATCCTACCACGTCCTCCAGTCCGATCACCAGTTCATAGAATTAATCAGCCATTTGTTTTGGATTTGTGGACTCGGATGGCCCAGGGGTCGGCAAATTTTACGTCGCTCGCGGGACAAAATTTTTGGTATTCTTTTGCGGATCGCATATATTTTTTGAAAGTTGAAAACGGAACATCGTGCGAAAACTGCGACAATTCGTGAACTCAACTCAGTCGTCTTAATAAAAAATTATTACAACGACGTTCAATGTGACACTGTCTTGTTTCTGCATCACGCTTGAGCATCACGACGCCAAGATTGGAAGATTTTCTAAATGGGCATCACTAATCCTAGTTCTTTGCTTGTTCTTTGTAATGTTCTTTTCGAAAATAATTGTTCACATAAATATGTACTTTCAAACATTGAAGTGAATATTTTAGCATGGTTTGTGAAATTTTGATAAAGATTTTCTTTAAGAAGATACATTCTTACAAAGATTAAGCAGTGATGAATCTCTCGAATAGAATATGAATCTTATTTCCTTATTGCATTGCAATATATTCGAATATTTACTGCGCTATTGAACCCCTGCACTCAGCATCAACTTTCCTGCGTGTTTCTATTTGTCTAATTATAATTAAATTGTAGGCTCGTTAAACGAGTAGCTGTTCAATATAATTTTTAGGATATAATTAAATTTAGTCTAAACGTGTCTCACGATAAATTATGTTACGTAAAAAAATGTAATTTACTCCTAGAGCGTAGATAATAAATAAAATTAATTCATCGTTAAAACCGCCGTTTGGATGTTTCCCCTGACATAGACTTCCTTGTTTACTCGTAACATTGGCCAATCAGCAAGATGCAAAAATATACGTAACAATGCCCCCTTTCGCATCCACTCAGACAGACTTTCAGGCGTGGTCGTGAACATTACCTCATTTTCGCGATTTTGAATTATATTCGTTAGTTTTTAGTTGTTTTTCGGAAATTTGAATAAAATAAGTCAACGATCACCTTGTCCTCTTAGGACAGTGGTTCTCAACCTGTGGTACGCGTACCACTAGTGGTACGCGGGAGCTTTTCAAGTTGTACGCGAGCAGATTTCAATTATTGCAACAATTAATCTTCAAGTGGCTAAAATATACCGGCAACGCTTTATCTTCCTTACTGTATGTATTCGCTAAACAGCGTTTATGGATGTTTCCCCAAGCATCAGTTTCCTTGTTTATTTCCGTAACTATATCCAATCAGCAATAAGTCAACAATGACGCAACTCGTAACAATTGCAATTTCTGCGCTCAACCGCTCAGACACTTCTGTCGCTCGAGCAGATATTCGAGCATGGTTGCAAACATTACCTCGTTTTTGTAGTTTTGAGTGATATTTGTCAGTTTTCAGTTGTGTTTCAAGAAAATAATAGTGAATTAATTAACTAAATTGTCATTATGCCTTCCGCGGAGCTTTACTTTAGTTGCAGTAATCGAAATTGAATCTCGCAAATGCTGCGATGGACAAGGCTAAACTTAGCCATATCAGTACCTGCAAACGGCACATGGTTGATTAATTTTAATAAAAATTATGGTTTCAAACACGTGAACCAGTTTATAAGCGCCAACATACCAAAACACTCTCAGAATAAGCATAAAGTTTGCAATAGTAAAGTATAAGAGTAATTTTTCCAGGGTCAATGATCGGGGAAACGTCTATAGTGTTGGTGCGCTATCGGTCCTTGTCTTTAGAGATTGACTTTGCCCGCTATACCTCAATAAATGAAGCGATATGGACATGTTTTTTGTTTGTTTTGCACAAAGGATGTAGTTTAATAATATAGAATACACACATAGCATGTTCCTTGTGTCTCCCTCCCCCCGCCAAAAAAGAAGCTTTTTCGGTGGTACGCGGCCATAGTAAAAACAGTAAAGTGGTACGCGGCCAGTAACAGGTTGAGAACCATTGTCTTAGGAGTTTCAGTTCAATTACAGTAATCAAAAATTAGTGTAGAAATAGCTGTGATAGACTAGGCTAAAATTATTTACCGGTACTTTTAAAAAACATATTGTTGAATGGTATGAATTAGAATGATAGTTTGAAACAAATACTTCATTTTATAGGTAACAACTCGCGAAACCACTCTTAAAATAAGCACCGAAAATTTTTTAGAATGATAAAGTATGGGAAGAATTTTTCGGGGTCAAAGGTCGGGGAAAGGTCAATTTAGTGAAGCGTCCCGGGCCAGATTACTACAGATTTCCCGACCACTGGGATACCCAAACTACCGTACCTTGCTGCGAAGACGAGTCCAGCAATCCTTTCGCGTGTGACATCGTCCACGTGATTTGTACCTACGAAATCACGCAGAGTACAGTAATCAAGTGCACGATGCGCCGAACAAAAACAGGTTTTGCGAAATCGCTCCCCTATCGCCTCCTTTGACTTTTTCGCCCCCCTCTGTATCGTTTTCGCCCACCGGGGGGCGATATCGCCCACTTTGGGAATCATCGCTACCTTACCTTTAACAGTACCGGTGCCCCAAACCATTAAAAACTTACGAATTTCGCGTACCAAGAATGCGCAGAATCAAAACGGACAAACGGTGTTCCCATGAATAAAAATAATACAGCCTTCTAGCGGAAATTACAGTCTTTAACCAGCACTGAAAATTTCAAAGCAATTGGAAGCATAAGAATACTAACAAGAACAACAACAACATAATACAAAAACGACAGTCATGTCCATTTGGTGTACAACAAATCCTTTTGCTAACCCTGGGATTGCTTATATTATGCTTGAAGAATATATTTATGTACAAATATGAGCCTCAGTGGGATCACGAATACTTTGAGGGATACAATATTTCACGCATGTTACGTACAATTACGTCTCATGCGTAAGGGAGACACACCTTGCCAAAAAGAGTACCAAATTAGTAAAATAGTATTTTACTGATACCAATTATGTTATCAAGGGCGCAGAGGTCTAATATAGATCTTTGAAAATTTTCAATCCATATAACGTGTTACTGTTTTTATTTATTAAAATATTATTATGACGTGCCAAGTACGTAATAATATTTAAATATTGAAGATTAATAACATTTTGATCACTATTTCAAAAAATAAAATAGTGATAAATAAACTTATATCATATTAAAATATGTCTAATCTATGAAAACACGAAATGTGACAATCACAAAAATAATATGGTGCCATGTTTTTCATACACCGAACGTTAATCCACGTAGCTCAAATATTTGGGACATTCTCGTTTTACGCATCAGTTTCCAAAACTAATATTTTTTTTTTATTGTTTGACGTAGCTCAAATCATTTTTTGACATTTTTGTTGTGCGAATCACATTTGTATTTGATATTTTGTAAATCAATCATATATTCAATGTTGTTATTTTATGTCGTTCATTGAAAATCTATAATTAGAAAGATTTTTTAACCTTTCACGAGAATAGATTCATCAATATTATTAAACCAAACTTGAGTTAGTATATTTTATAAGTTATACTTTGATAACTCCCTATTTTGAAATGTTTTTGAAACTTTCCAAATATTTTATGATAACAAAACTCGAAAAATGTATTTTTCCTAACCTAATGAAATTTTTTCAATTATTTTAGTTTCTGGTAAACTTTGATTTAATTAGACGTGAAATGAAAGCAAGATGCATTTTTACTGGAATTAACATTTGCAATTTGTATTTAATTTTATTCTCCTAAACACTGGCATGTTATTTAACTTCGTAATCATACAACTACGTAAGTTTTCCCGTTATAGGCGTCAAAGTTACTTCAAGAGCGCATGGTGACAAATATTACGCGGTTTCAAGTTATCGTCATCAATAAAAAATGAATTATTACATCACTGTGGTTCTGATAATTGGCATATTTTAATGACTAAATATATTTTGAAAATTTTTGTTTTCACTTTATTGTTGAAACTGTGTCACTGATACCAATAATAAAATTTGTTAAACGATTATTAACGTTTCATTCGATATTTACAAACATCTTTCTAGAATCTAGACCAAGGATGTGCAACAGGCGGCCCACTTTCCCCCCATCGAGCATAAAATCCTCATCTGACAGTTTATGTTTTAAACGATTTTTGCGCTTGTCGCCGCGTTGAATCTTTCGCCGTTTCCCCCTGTGACTATTGGAAGGGTAAGTGATAGCCGCATTCTCTTCTGGTTATTGTCGCTCGGGTTGCCGCTAGTTTTTTCATTCATTGATAATCTCACTGCTAATTATTTTTTTGTGGGAATATTGGATAATATATACTGTAATATATATATATATATATAGAATGGTTTATTAGGATTTTATACGAAAAGTTTTGTGATATCAACAGCTCGTATATGCTAAGAATAAACACATCTGCAATTTGTCCAAAGATCGCCAACGGTAAATGGAGCTTTTCATATTATCAGCATTTGCCCTCAAGGAATGATTTAATAAAGAAGAATGAAGGTTCTGGAAGGCTGTTGTAATTATTATATATGACCATAAAGTCCTATTTTTTTAAGAATTGCGAAGAGAATTTATCGATACCATATATTGTTTTGACCCTCACGAATTATTAAATGAAGTTCAAATACTTAAACAATTACTGATTATAATACAACAGACCTGGTTAAGATATATTGAGAACTGACTTCATACCAAAATTGAAGTTGTAAAGGAACTTCATGAACACCCTGATATATTTTTCCTCTCTTCGAGTTCAACTATAAATCTCGATATAAAGAAAATTTGGCTGTTTTTTTCGAACATTGCTTTGACAACAGAACAGCCCGACATATTGCACGAAAAAGTCAGCACCCGATGCTCACCGATATTGATGTGAATTGCTGCAAAGGCGGTAATTGATTTGCAATTTTATTTGAATTTTTATTTGCATTTTGAAAATAACTTTTTTTTATCCTATATGCTTCATTGCTATATTTGCTGCTGTAATACAGCAACAAGGTGTCGCTGACTGGATGACTCATTGAGTCTTCCGAGACCCCGTGTCAATTGCTATCAATCAATGTTGCTCTCGTTTTTTTAGTTTACTGTGTTTCTCTTTTGCGTTCTATTGATTCTTGCATGGCGAAATAAAATATCTGAAGCTGATTCTTTTAACCACGCTTGAATATCTGTCTGAGCGAAAGAAGTGTCGAAGCGGCCGAACAAATTGTAATTGTCGCGTCGCTTATTGCGCTTATTACTCATCGATCTGGTTACTTATCGATCTTGATCGGTAAGTATGTTGATAGGTCATTGTCTGTATGTCTGTGTGTTAGATGCACAGGATAACTGGGCCTCCGTGTTCATATACTGGAGCAGTCATTTTCAACCAATTTGGTTGAGCAGAAGCCAGTAGGCTCGGGGAATCCCTGTACAATAGTTCGATATTTTGTTATTGTCTGAATTGTGAATAACACAACAATAAAATCAGACCAAAGCAAGCGAATCAAAATGAACTTCAAAGTGTTGCAAGTTTAATACGGGTGGCAAACCTAAAGGTATTTGATTATATTTAAACAATAAAAACATACAGATTTTCAATTTGAATGAAATCTCCCGGAACTCCTGACATGCCGCGGAATCCCGGTTGAAAACCAGTTTATTAGAGCACTGCTGTACTATTTAATTGATTTTTTCTAACTTCAACTTTGAAGAACAAATGTTTACAGAAGAATAACGTAAAGTAAATGACTAATTAGGGATATTGCGTCCACTCATAAGAAAGCCTTTATGTGAATATGATCCCGATCCATTTTGTTATATAATATAAATTCAGTCTGGTCAATTTATTTAAACTGGAAGCCAACGCAGTGGGATAATAATTCAAAACAAAAAACAAGGCGAAGAAAATTATTATTTGATGAAATATCAATACTAGCTGATTTGTAATCTAGAAAGTCAATCCATGGTCTGCTGTTATACAGTGGTTAGAAATTGTTAAATTGGTCGAATTTTCATTTCTGTGAATTTGAGAGAATAATGGTATTCCTTCCAGCTGCGCCATACCAAGCCATCTGCGAATGATTCTTGAACTCCGCTTTGAAAATAATGACCATTTAAATTGCTTGCATGGCAGTTTGTGTACCACCACGCCCCTTTATAAGAAACTGCGCAATTCCCAGAATGTATATCGTTGTCTTGATCTTTAGTCGAAAATCTATGACCGTTGTGGCCACTCAAAGAATCTCCCGCGTCTCCAGTGTACCCTCCAACGGTGAGTGCATATTTCGATTTCGGTCCTCCTATTTTGAAGTTTCTGTGAAATTAATGCCGATGTTTAGGCTTTAAGATACAATTAAGTTAATCATATAAAGCAGGGCAGGGGCGGACACTTTCCATAATTTTGGGGGGGCGAACTTGGATCGCCTACCGAAAAACACCGCGCCGTGTATCGTCACGTAACAATAACCTGTCGATGTCATTCTCTGAGTATTAGCATGTCAGTTTGCTACTCATATATCGATTACCTAGGCTGCTTTGCTCGGACACGAAACTTGCGCGTCACTGAACCAATTTCTTGAATTCCGCGAGAATTAGCCCACGGCTCTTGCTAACATACAGAAAATAACAAATTTGAGGAGTCGTATTAGGTTATTGTTTCAATTCCTAGTTCTGCATAAAGCGCACTAACGCCGTTTCGTGAAATTAGAAATGCAAAACAAAGTAACAAGCTATTGTGCGAATTTTTTTCCTAAATTTTACCAAGGAATTATCATTTGACTAGTAGAATTGCCATTATTGCCGATTTATTAAATCATCATTTGAACTCGAAATAACATTCAGGATTCACGCAATGACTTTGCAGGGTTTTTATTTATAATTCAATACGAAAATAAACAGGCACAAGTTCAGGCGCGCAGCCAGGATTTTTAAAAAAAAGGCGGGGTCAAAGTCGGAACTTCCCACTGCCGTCTGCAACAAGCACCGCGATTACGCGCTCAATAAAAGAGCCGCCTATTTGAGCGTATAATGATTTTTCTGTCGATCCATGACAGCCACGAGATTCTAAAATGTCCTTATATATTAAATTGTGTGCAACCTAACTCGCGGTTGCGACTTCTTACGTCAAAATAAAAATATTACTAAACTTAAAGTACCACGGCGATATGTGGACATAAAAATATGAGATAAGCTGCCTGATGTATTTAATTTTGATACGTATTTTTGCAATCTTCCGAACTCGTTATCGTCGTTACAAAAATCTCGATATCTGATATAAAATCCGATATAGTACAATTTTAATTCATACAATGAAAATAATTATAAGGTATACTAGTAAATCAAAAATACAAATACACCGCCTCGAAATCCACGCGGAACAGTCGCCGCGATTACGCCACTTGTTAATAGAGCCGACTTCATCAACGAAAAATGATTTTTCACTTGTGCAAAGTAATAAATCAAAGACCGATACGGGCATATTCAAAATGTCTTAATTTATTAATTTAATTGTCTTCAATTTAAACTGCGGTTGAGTCGGACAAAACAAGGGCCACTCTAAAACACGACGGAAAAAACCTTTCGAAAAATCCGTAAATTTTCTGTCAATTCTCACGTAGTAAAAGTTATTTCAGTACAACAAAAATACATAAATAAATACAAAAAGTGATCGAAAATACTTTAATTATCTTATATATCATCACAAACCGTGGAAAAGTCGCGTTCTCAGCTTTGTTTAATGTTAACACGAAAATTTTCGACGTCAATTTTTAAAGTAATGGATAAAAAGGCAAATCCCGCTCACAATTGACCGTGTTTCGATTTTAGTAACGAAATATTTTTAAAGGTCAAGCAAACATAATTTGTGCCGCTGGCACACGAAATTTTGCGATTTTCGATGCCTAGAAAAGCGTTTTTAGACTGTCGCGGGCCTCAAAACTTATATTGTTTACAGTTTTATTTTTTAGTATTTTATATTGCCGCTTTTCAACTTTTCGACAAAGTAAATGCTTTGATCTTTGCCCGCAAATTATGCTGGGCCTTGCACGAAATCCATAACGTAAAAAGATACGTCCCGCGGCGAAAATTGTTTAAAACAACTTTAGATCTAGTTAATTTTTTAGCGATAATGATTAATTGTTGTAATAAAACACAGTTTGCCTCTTTCATTTCTTTCGCAAGTGCCAACAATAACACTATTGAAAGATTTTGACAATGAGAAAATCATATTAAATTGTACAAAAACGAGTTAGTTGTGCAAAACCGTGGCGCGTGATCGGCGGTGCGTTTGAAGACGGAGTATTACCCGTGCGGACGCGCATGTTTCACGAAAATGTGAGGTGCTCCGAAGGCGCATTATTGTAAGAAAACAGTTATAATATCGGTAACTATTAACCGTTTAATGGCGCTTGACTATCGCACTTTTCGGAAATGATAATTTTGTAGGGCAGAAACAACATGTATTAAATTTTTTTGCGAAATTATTGGGGGGGCGACCGCCCCCCTTCGCCCCCCCGGGTGTCCGCCCCTGAAGCAGGGATGTGCAAGGGCCACAACCCGACCATTTAGTGTGGCCCTTATGAATACCCCCCCCCCCCCCCTCCCCCATGAAGCATAAAATTCTAATCCGACAGTTTATGTTAACAGCTGATATTAACGAACTATGCATGAACTCAAAATTTCAATTGTCTAACTAAAATGTTAAATGAATAATATTTTTCATTGTGTTAATTTTTTAATTGTTGTGTTCATGAAAAAGTCTATTTTTTTTCGTGACCCGGCTAGTTGCCTGAAGTTGGTTATATGGCTCACCGACAAAAAAATGTTGCACACCAAAGATGTAAAGTAATCGAATGACTCTTACGAATATTTTGCATATTTCCTATTTCCTTCCCAATCTTCTAAATCGATACGAAGTTCGTAGTCATTATCACGAGTCAGACGATGAAGATTCTCCAGGCCTTATAAATAGTTAAAATATTGAATGAAATAACTTATTACGACATCCTTTTGGAGATTTTCAAGACTTACCAAACCAAAATTCATCATCTTTGTTTCCAAATCCATTTACATATTCATTCCAAGTTCTATAGAAATCCGTTGAGCCACTTGAACGTCGTTGGAAAACCTTAAAAAAAGCAACTACACTTGATAATAGTAACGTGGCAACCTCATACATCCAGACCATTATTATTAATAACTAGGCTTTAATAGACCCATTACCAGCTAACATACAAAGACGGCCTATATAACTGAACAGCATTGGCGTATCCAGGGCATGGTCGACATGGCGCAGTTTGGACAGGGGCGCAAAAAGACGACAGTCTTAATCGTAAAATGTTTCAACAAAATAATTTCAAATTGGAAAGGATTAAAACTCGTGTGTTTTTAGTGAAATATAGTTACATACAAGTATCAGTCGTTAAATTGTAAGTCAACGATTAATGGCACGCATTTTAAAATCTTGCATGCGCGCTATTTTACGTATACGCCACTGCTGAACAGAAAACCAAATGGCAGACATTTGCAGATAAGACTCATTAATCTAGATTAGAAAGACCAAGATAAGTAGTAATTTACGGTAATAATCATAGGCATGGGGAAGATTAACAAAATACCCAGTAAAACAAATATCAACGTGAACACACAATGAATTGCAATAATGTATTGTTGTGAACAATGTAATTCCTCACCATCCAACCCCCACCGTCAGTTGTTAGATCACAGAATACTTCAAGCTTTGAGTAAGCTGGGTAAATATCAAAAACTCCACCGGTTTCCTTCCAAATTTTCGCATCATTCTTAGTCACATTTCCACAGTCGGTAAAAGTTAGAGGTCTCAATTCTGTCATGAGAGAATTGAATAATTCAATATTGAAGTGAAAAAATGAAAAGCCATCAATAATATAACAATGCCTGTTTTAAAATGAAGGCACTACGACTGTCGACAGCGGTCATCGAAGCACAAATTACGCGAATCACATGAATAAAACTGAGATTGTGAACTACCTTCATAGACCCGCGTTTTGGCGTTTATCTACCCTTCGTAAGTGGGTAACTGCCATGCGAAGTTAGTTACAGATATCGGTATGAAAATCCACTTCCAATATTATATGAAACAACAATGGTTAATATGATCCAAAACGCCGAACGGTTGGATGAAGTATGATTGTATTTACTTTTAGTCGAATAGCCGAGTGGTCTAATGCGCCATACTCAAGAATCGTCCATTTCACCTTAACAAGACTTAGCTTCTCTGCTGCGGCTGCGGCTATGATTATTTTGAATACAAACCTTGAGCCACACGAATCAATTCTGAAAATTTTCTTTCTATCTCAGATGTGTTGTTCAACATATTTTCCTCAATGTTGGTCATCTTGGTTTTGAAACGAATCTCCATTGCTGTAATAGTAAACAATCTTTCAGAGCTAGCTGAATTCAAAGAGCATCTTTGATGTGGCCTGCACCAAGGGGAGGGGTATAGGATCAGTCGACCCGGGAAACACACTGTAGGGGCGAGTTCGTTTCTTATTTAACTAATAATACAAACATTTCACTATTATTTGGCTTATTTTTGGAGTTATGTATGAGAGCCATCATTATCAGAAACTTGCCCTGGAAAACCAGAAAAGTTTGACACCATCCTGCCTGCTCCTAATCCAGATCCCTCGCACAAAGCTGTACCTTGTGATTCGCAGGGGCGCGCTTTAAATACTTCTCCTCAAAAATCGATCGCAATTTATAAGCCTAATGTATGCTTTCATGTAGTGTTTTATACTTTATTGCCTACACTCAAAACCAACACACTCCCTATAGTCCTCAATATGCGGTAGTACACGACTTACCGTTGAATTTCTTTTGCATTTCCTGTTCTATCTTTGTATAGTTAACTATGCCTGGCGGTCCGCGTGGTCCAGCTTTACCAACTCGCCCTGCATGAGCATGGTCTGGTCGAGAATTCGAGAGTAATGTGACCTGTCTTGTACAATATTCATGCATTTGATAAACTTGGGAACAAAGACCATCGTCAGGCAATGAATCGGTCATTGAAATCAGACAAATAATCAACATTGCAGATAAACTATTAACCATGTTGTATCGTTTTTGCCCTGGATAAGTCATAATGCTGAAAAAATCATAAGAGTTTGTTATATTTTCGAATAAAAATACTAAATATAATATATACATCATACTAAATAAATATATAAAGTCGAAAAAAAACACGATCCTAAGAATATAATAGGAAACTTTTATTTTTCTCCACGCACAAAAACTAAAACCATGCCATACTCTATCTAAACCAGGGCTTTTCAAACTGTCGATTTCGACATTCCGGTGGGTAGCAAAGAAGCTTAGGTCATGATAAAATCTTTTTCGACACTAACTTATGTTTAAACAAAATATAGTTCATATTTGAAAGATTTGGGACCAGTACTAAGACGCACCATCACCGAAATAGAGGCCATATTCTATCATTTGTGCGAAAATATGCAATAACTCAATAAAAGTTTGGCCATGTCAAGTGGGTCGCAATGAAAAAAGTTGGAAGAACACTGTTCTAAACTAAAGCAAGTTTTACTAGCTATTCAGATGATTTATATATTATATAGAACTCAGTGGCGGCGCGTCAATAGGGCCAACCGGGGCAATGCCCCGGTTGTTTTTCCGGTATAATAAAAAATATTCGAAAAATACCTCAATATCGGTTGCACAGACTGTCTACACTAGCCATATTCTCCCGACATGGTTCATTTTTCGCTCGCAAAGCCTTCGCCGAACGTCGACGGGGCGACGCCGATTTTGCCCCGGTTGCTCATTGAATATCGTATTCTCTCTTTTAATATCCACTCGCCGCGTTTGTCTCGTTTGTTTTCTGTTTCTTTTACTAAATCATCGGGGCCGATCGGGGCTAGCCCCGAAATTATGACGACACAATGCCGACGTTTCTTACAACAACGTGTTGACATATTCACGCATTCCTTCTCGTTCGTTGGTTGCTTGAAGAGTTGATATTTTCCTCGCCTTCGTTTTTGTCGCTTGTTTCGCTATTTGAATCATTTAGAGACCTTTGGTCCATTTGCTTTCGATTTTCCACATTCCTTTTGAGCTCCTCACTTCTTTCCGGCTTCGCATTTCTTAGCCTTAGACCTCATAATGAATAAGGTTGATGCACTACTTCGCACTCCGTTTTCGCAGCTGCCGCTGGAACAAAAATTAGAGGTACAACGTCTTGGGCCTTATCAACCAAAAAATTGTTCACTGGAACAATCCCATGACGGAGGAAAGCGTCGGCGTATATTCTGTGCAGAAACTTGGTATAAAAAACACGAATGGTTGTGTTACAGCGAGGACAAAAATGCACTTTTTTGTTTTTATTGCCTACTTTTTGCTACCGCCCGTGACTCACGTTGGTGTAAATTTGGTTTTAGAGATCTTAAACATCTTTCCGAGCGTGCCAGGGATCATCAATCTTCTATGGAGCATCTGGACAATGCAGTAAAATACCGAACATTCGGAAATGTTAATATTGCAGCACAGTTGGATGAAGGACGCGCGGTTTCTATTCGTCGGCACAACCAAAACGTCGAGAAAAACCGCCGTGTTCTCGGTCGATTGATAGATGTTTTGAAGTTCATTGGTTGTCACGAGCTGTCCCTCCGTGGGCACGATGAACGGGCTGGCTCTTCTAATAGAGGGGTATTTTTGGATATGGTGGAATACACCGCATCCCTAGATACAGTATTGAGAGATCATCTTGATGCCGCAACTGTTTCGAAAGGGACATCTAAGGATATCCAAAATGATTTGCTCGACTCAATGTATAAAATTTATTTACAACATTTGGCTCTGGAAATTGAGAATTGCCAGTTCCTTTCGATTTAGTCTGACGAGACAACTGACATCACGTGCGTTTCCCAACTGGCTGTGATTTTTCGGTTTGTGAAAGATGCTAAACCTACCGAGAGATTTCACAGCTTTGTACCAATCGCTGATCGCACGGCTTGTGGGATATCGGCTGTACTGAAAGAAGTGTTACAGCCTTACAACGCGAAGTCAAAATTGATAGCTCAAACTTATGACGGCGCGGCAGTCGAAACATGGTGTTCAAAGTTATCTAAAAGAAGATTTTCCTCAAGCGCATTTTTTACATTGTTATGCACACCAATTTAACCTCGTTATTAAAAATATGTGTCTTGATACCCCTCTCGTCCGTATATTTTTTGCAAATGTTTCGGGGTTTTCTTCATTTTTTTCCGTTTCGCCGAAGCGCTCTGACCTCCTTCGCCAGATATGTAGCCGCCGTCTCCCAGCTTGTGCACCAAAACGTTGGAACTTCCAATCACGCGTGGTGCAGGGCGTGTTCGAAATTAGGTCTGAGCTCATTGAGTGTTTCAATGGCATTCAGAGCTCTCCGGTTTGGGACGAACGCTTTGTGAGGGAGGCGGCAGGTCTAAAGCGTCTGCTAGAAGATGGTGAGTTTTCATTTTTTCTCGCTTTTTTCTCCACAATATTCTATCACGTGGATTTATTATACGGCGCATTGCAGTCAAGGCTAATGGATGGAGCGTCTGTGCAGTCGTGTATTTCAGACTTCTGCGATGCTGTATCTCGTATCCGGGAAACAATAAAATACGACGACACATGGAGTGCTTCTTTACGCCGCGGGCAAACAACGCAGCGTTTGATTTTGTCTGCAAAGGAATGCTGTGACATTCTGGTGAATCAAATAGGCAATCGTCTGCGCACTGAACACCTTGCCGCGTTCTCTTTGATGAACCCCAAAAATTTTTCAAAATTTGCACGCCAATTTCCCATCCATTTGTTGGCTACTGTCTCCAAATTTTACTCCATGATAAACGTGGGTAAATTGGAAAATGAATTGCGATGTATATACACCAATCAAACTTTTTTGAACATTACATCAACTTGCGCGCTCTATGGGTTCCTCATAGATAACACTCTAGTAACTACCTTTGCGGCGTCTGCAAAATTTCTCGACATCATTTTGACGACGCCTATTTCTTCCGCCGACGCAGAGCGAACATTCAGCACGCTGAAGCGTATTAAAACGTATCTCAGAAACACAATGAAGCAAGATAGATTAAATTCCTTGGCTGTTTTATCCATTCACAGAGACGTTATTTCTGGGATGCATGACTTTAATCAGCGCGTTATTGAGCATTTTGCTTCCAAGAAACCGCGGCGTGTTGCATATATGTTCAAGCAGTAGAAGTCTAGCAGCATATATATCTATGAGTGAGCGACGCATGTCCTTATCTTTGCATTAACTTTCCTTTCTTCATAGTAACGTTTTAAACCTTATTTTAAGTTTTGTCTGCTTTCCCGAAGTTTCTGTTAATATGTCATTGTATTTATCTGGGTAAATATTGCCTTTCCTTTTGAAAGAGGTTTCAAAATAAACTATGTCTATATTTATTAATCCCTTGACTTGGACCGGTTTTAAAGACACTTTCTTATCGTTAAAAATTGTCGCTTTTGCCGATTGGTTGTTACCGATGGAAAGGTTTTCATACTCATAAAATGATGGGAGAACTTACAGCGCTCATCCTGTCCCCGTAGATGGGGGTGACTTGGTCCCACAGTAGCTTGCCCCGGTTGTCAAAATGACCACGCGCCGCCACTGATTAGAACTACTGATAAATATTCAGATACTTTATTGATTCTTTGATTGTTGTAAAAATAACTCGATCAATATGCGATATGTTGAACAATATACGAAGCGTTGCGTTTATAGCTTTTGTTTTAAATCACTTTCCATTTCCATACATACGTATTACTCCATGCTTTGAATGACGACGATTGTAAATTCAGGCCAACGAAAAATACATATACTTTTGCCTAGCGTATTGTACCACACACAGCACTTAAAACTAGGGACAATGCTAACTAACACTGACTGCTACGTGACAATGCGCCTTCTAAATGAAAATTAGGCGCCTTGATTTTAAGAAAACATAATTGATGTTAATGATCAAGCTAAGAAAGTCAACAAGCCTAAGTGGATGGAAAATTCCCATATATTTGAAATTGAAAAAGATCGGAAATTATCTGACATTTTACGGTAGTTGTTGTACTATTTATTACACTTACACAAAAAATCTTCAACTGAGTTATACAACGTGAACTATGCGTTTACAATCAAATCAAAACCAATCTGAATAAATTATACTAACAGCATACAAACTCATATCTGCGACGTACCCGCTATCACTGATTGTTTTACAGTCTGAGTCATCAGCCAAACAGAAGAGTATTTGTCACTTAGGTCACGTTCTGAAGTCAGACGACGTAAGGTCAAAAAACCTAGTGAAGTTATGTGAAGGTTTAAAACCCCTTAAACAATCACATCATGCAATAGCAGCTAGTGCGCATCGTATACTTATGAAGGGTATGCCGGTCTATAAAGCTTACAACGGCTGATAAATGTTAAAGGAAATTTGGATCCTTTGTACAAAGCCCCCACCACTAATGCAGAAATGTGTGATTTAAGAAAAAACACTCCGCCACGCTTTAAGATAATAACGTAGGAATCATTCAGTTGGGGTTAGGAATGATTTGATGATTTGAATATTCATCGCAATCTGCTTTCCTCACTCTAACTGGACATCTACTATTTTTATTTTGAGTGGTGGCGGGACTTGTACAACCATAGCCACGAGAGAGTAATTAAGTAATATGACCTTGTAATATGATTGAGTTTTTCTGTGCAGAACTTCATTTGGAACAGGTACTGACTTGCCAAGAAAAAACTGTACCGAGCCTAAGATGTGTAATTGATATCTAACCAAAAAAGATGTGAAATTTATAAATAAATTGTTTTCATGTAACAGATGATGTCACGAATACAGATCGACAAAATTGATATTAATTACGCATTTCTGTAACTGTAAGATCAGCGTATGTTTGACTTTAACATTGATACCTGGTGTCATTCGAAACAATTTACATGGACAGAATTCATCTTTAGTTATCGTCAATTCAAAATATTATATTGAGATGAATATGAACCAAGACGTATTGCATTAAGACGTGCGTGACAAATGTTAATCATTTTATGAGGGCTTTTGCACTTTAAAACTTTTTAGATAACCAGATCCCTGAATCATCTTTTATTTATCGTCATATATAGGAAAAGGAAAAACATAAAGATGTTTAAAATTAAATACAGCGATATCTTTCTTATTAATATCAACAATTAAATTAATTTTCTCCTAGCTGGAATTAGTTCCTGGCTAAATTTCGTGTTCGCGCTAAGTGTTCTTGGCGAACACGTGGTCAACTAAATATCAATATGGCACAGGTCAACACTTCTTGCATCAAAAACATATTCTCTCGTTTTCAGCAAAGGTCAGTTGCAAAAACACTGCATTATAGATTATGTCGTCATATGCATATTTAGATTCAGGTGCCTACATGCGTGGATATTGCTCACTTTCAGTTCTCTGACCAGAAGGAAACTTCACAAAAACGTAGGAAATGTGTTTTCAATACGAACATTCACACGCTTGCCCAAAATAATTGCAATATAATTCTATTCTATTTTTGTTTCTATTGACATATTACTTTAAAATAGTTACTTTTTCTCTACACTTTTTTGTCTATTTTCCCGGTTGTTCGTGTCGGGGACACTAATGTCAATCTACACCACGATATCATACAGTATGGACTCGCAAACATTTGGTGTTGTGAAGACCGTAATGAGTTTGGCTATCATTTACGGAGCCCTACAATTAATTATGAAAAAAAAACATTGTTACACTGCGAATAATGTTCGTGAATAAAATAATTTTTGTTAATGACTCGGATGTATTTGCTGCTTGTCAAATTTTAATAATGCCGTTTTTGCTCATTTGGTAAACGAATAGCACTTTGGAATCTATGCCATACACAATATAGAGATGAAACAATGTATCGGTATCCGCCATATTTTAGATATTGGTAATTGTATCGGTATCGAAAAATAAATAAATACATCTTTAATGCAGACCCTAAACCCTGTTTTATTTATTTGCAATTGAAATGTTTGAAGTTTCGTAGTTATTATATTGTGAATTCCGTACATTATTTGTTTTAAAACTCGGGTTCTCGCTCATTACTCACGCATAAAACATCCTCTTCCATTAAATGTCAACGAGGTCAAAAAGTCGTTTTTACGTTTAAACTTTCTTAGTATCGTTTTTCGTCAATTATTAGTTTCAGATGTATGATTAAATCGAAACTATAGAAACGCACTAAATAAGTGGTATAGCATAACTTTTGTATTTTTAAAATTATATAAGTCATGAGAGAATTAGATTTAATAGGGCAAGATTTTGTAATTAGCCAATCTTTGCTTTATTCGAATCATAAATAAATATTACCAACTCTCTGATTACCTTTAACTCTGCTCGAAAAATATATTTATCAGTCGGTCCATGAAATACAGGGTACAATTTTCGATATTCCCGTAGTGTGTGTACCAGGTTAGGGTTAGGCGTAATTTTATTTCGATTTTCTTCATTTTAGTTCAATTACGAGTTCGAGCACTGTCTGTATTAGCCAAGTAAAAATATCCCCTGCCCATAGGTTTCAGTCCCATTACACAACTTGATGTAAAGTAGGCGAACAAAATTAGTTACATCCATATTGGTACACACACTCCTGGAGCTTCCAATTTTTACGTACGTTACGTATAATTACGTCTTAAACATAAGGGAGACACAAGTTTCCAAAAACCTTCAGAAAAAACATACATCGGTTTCACTGCTTCGAATATTTGAGTTTATTGATAACAATTATTTTATTACGGGCACAGAGGTCAATCATAGATTTATGAGAATTTTCCGTACATTTAAAGTTTTAAATATTTTTGATTATGAAAATATCATTATGACGTTACACGGACGTAACAAACACTAACGTGGTACAATTTAAATATTGAAGCTTAATAATATCTTAGTTACGGCGATTTTTTTCAAAACAACAAAATCGTTCTGCGCTATATAAACTTCTACCATATTAAAATATACCTTATAAGGTAAACGCTAAATGTCACAATCACATTTCCAAAATATTATCCCTTTTTATTTTGTTTTAATTCACCGAACGTTAATCAACGTATCCTAAATCATTTGTGACATTTTTGTTTTACGTATCAATGCTGATTTGATGTAAATCAATCATTTATTTGCTCGTTGCTCTATTATCCGTTCATTGGAAATCTATAATTAAAAAGTTTATACATTGCTTGAATTGATTTATCAATATTAATGAAACAAGCTTAACTTGATGTAAGTTACAAGATATACTTAGATGGCTCCATATTTCAAAATGCAGTTTGAATTTGGAGTGTGTGCCTTAATTGTCCAAATGTTTTATGAATAGTGGTGAAAACAAGAACTCAATAAATATATTCGTGGTAATTGTATAGATTTGTTTTACAATTGCATTAGTTTCACATTATAAAGTTTATTTTATTGAAAACAAAATGATTTTGAATCATTCGAATTTTGCTGGAATTACCTTTCATGATTTGTATTTAATTTTATGACTGACGTATTGACAACGTCGTAGTTGTCACAGTCACAGCATAAGTTTCTCACGTTATAACTTATGAGCGTCAAAGTTACGTCAAGAGCGTACGGTGACAAATATTACGCGGTTTCAAATTATCGTCACCAATAAAAATTTAACTATTGCGTCATAGTGGTTCTGATAATTAGTATAATTTAGTGACTATACCTATATATATATATATATAGTGTCACATTTACTTTCCACACACCATTCCTTTTCTATGAATAGAGTAGTCCAAAAGGAACTAATAATTTCATCTACGTTTGCTTATTAGTTGCGGGCTTAATGTGACAATAAAGACATGTCATGAAAGTGGTTCGATAAACATTTTGGTTTTGATTTTAATTTTCAAGAATTATTTTTATGAGATTGCGATGTAATATTTGAATATTTTATTATTATGTCCGTAGCTAAATTAATCCGTCCGTAGCTAAAATTAAAAAAAAAAAATTTGAAGAAAAAATCGTTCAAGTAATATAAATATTTGAAAGTTTTCAAACTAACCCGCGACTTACATCATTCCACCCTTAGATTATTTCTCAGTGTACAAAGAATTGAGGTGACTCAAAAATGCCTTGTCCAACGTGTCCCACTTGTCCCACGGTAAACGTTGGATGAGAGGGACACGTGGGTCAAGTGGAACACGACATTTTCGAGACACCGCTAAGAATTGTTATAATGCAAAGCAAATATGTTTCATTAAATATACAAAGTACAAAACACCAATAATATTTCATTTAAAATAAAAGCACGGTTTCATATGATGGAATGTTGCTTTTTCTTTGGTCGACCTTACAATCTCATGTTCATTCATCTTGTCTTGAGTCATCTTCAGAATAATTTGGTTTATGTGGCCAATATTTATGACCTTCAAGAAACCTGGAAAAAGTTGAAAATGATCAAAATTAATTGCGGACAAAAACTCAATTACATTTCTATTTTTCTATTCATTGCATGAACTGGAATGAGGGTTTTCTCCGTCATATTTGTTACATGAACTGAATATATGTGGTAAACAAGGCATTAAAAAGGATTTGGATCTATATACAAAGTCGAAAAACATATGCAAACGAATTAGAATGTGATTTATAAATCACAAGAGTATCGTATATCATGACTGCTTTAGCTAGAGAACCCAATTCAAAGAATTCGTGGTTCATATAAATATTCTGCCGGATGGAATCTTGATTTCCTGCGGTGTCAGCGCCAAAACGAATGTCGCGATATCTCATATGTTGTTTCGATTTGACTGACATTACATGCTGAGTTATTTTGCACAAAGTGTAGAATCGTAATTTTCAGACATGTAACTCGTATTTTAAACAACCGCAATAAATTTATTAGATGCGAGACGAAACGTAATACCAGACTTACGTTTAAGTCTGGTATCTTAATGAACGACCCCCCTTAACATTTTAAACAATTAATTAATTCCTAACCTAAATATAATTGTATTTGAATATATCGAAAGTGGCGTATATACATGGTTAGCAAAATATCTCCCACCCCCTACATTTCGCCCCCCCCCCCCCCAAAAAAAAAAAAAAAGAACAAAAAGATGGAAAACATACTGCATAATCCCAACGTTTAACAGTCTCCAGTCAAAATATATAATATAATAGTATAATAACGTTAAAAATATTTTACCATTTTAAGTCAAAAGCTCTCCAATCTTTGTTCAAATCATAGATCAATTCCATTTCTTCATCACTTAGTTCGAAGTCATAAACCTGAAGTAGATCATGATTTTTTGCGAAGGTGGGTAGAAAAATGGAATAAGATAAGTAAAGAATACATTTCCGAATCTTACTTGGAAATTACTTTTTAACCGGGATTCATGTGAGCTGTTTATAACCGCCCCTATTCCTCTTTGTATTTGAAATCGAATCGCTATCTGCGCAATGTTTTTCTCTCGTTTTTCTGCAATTGATTTCAACACCCGATCTTGTCGAAGGATTGGATCATGTATTGTAGGCCTAAATAGAAATGAGTACGCCATATACATTAACCTAATAGTATATTTTGAGGAATTGGTTTTTAAGGCCTCTTAACCGCGCTTATAACTCAAAATTTATTTCCTCTCTACTGCAATTGTGATCTCTGTGATAACTTGTCTTGTTCTAGAAGGAACTTTCCTTAGGTAGACCTTGCAGTCTTGCCCGCCTTTCAATTATATCTCATTATTATTGTTTGTTTGTTTATTTTTACTGCAATATGTACTTATATGTAACGAAATATTCGGAAATAAACCATCATCATCATATACTAACAGAGTACTAAAATTATAATCCATTGTAATCAGGGCTGGGGAGTCGGAGCTGGAGCTGGAGCTTGGAGCCATGGAGCCGTGACATTTTGATGGAGCCGGAGTCGGAGTTGGAGTTGAGCTGGCCATGATAGATGGAGCTGGAGTCAGAGCCGGAGCTGCCAGAAATTTCAGCGGCTCCAGCTCCTGACAATAGAATTATTATTTTTTTTTACTTTTCTGGTTTTTTAATAATTTCTAGGGTTCAGAAATAATAATTACGCCGATTTTTATTCTATAATTTCTGGCGTCTCCAAACACTTAACAGAACTAAATAGTTGTATAATTACCGGTAATCAAGTTACTATTGTTCTAAAGTAAATAGTGTTGGATTATATCACGGATCTTGGTATTTTTGAACGGCGATAACGATTTTGCAAGATCGCAAAAATATGAATCAAAATTAATTATAATCGGGCAGTTTTCCACACATTTTACGTCCGTAGCTTGTCATTTATGTCAGAGATGCTTTTATTATTTCGTAAGTCGACGCAACATTGAGTTACTTTGAACAGAATAAAAACAATAAGGCACGTGCTGGTATCGGTAATGGGTTACATTTTTAGCACAATAGAAAATTATTTTCTGACAAGTCGTTTTTTTTAAAATATTATAAACAAAATTATTCGCCAAAGCGCAGGAAAAAGTATAAATTATATTATCCTAATCTTCCCAATAAAGCAACTTATTTTTCCGACTTGCGAAAGTTTATTGGGGTATCGTAACAAAACGTATGAAAACAACTTATTTAATATATGACCTTGGTTGGATCTAAGCGAGATGTGTGAACATAATAATATTCAAATTTTGATTTCACTTCCATTCGCTCGCGGGATTGGCAAGAATAAACGCTTTGCGGGAAGGTTTTCTAAAAGTGAGTGCGTTTAGTTATTAATAATAACTTTACATAATTAATAATTTCCCGACGCAACTGGAAATAAATGCGAAAATGGCGACAATATCCACCATGCAACCGTGAAAGAATGCTGTAACGCGCACTGAAAAATGAATATATATACCAAACAATCTAACAATTCTATTTTGTCGTCTTAAAAACACATGACAAAGTGCATAAAATCGTTTGAAGATTTTGCACGGAAACGAAACAAACAAACAGCTTGCGAAAAGTGACTATTACTTTAAAATTTGAAAAAGTATCGGAATACTTTGATATAGCAATATGGACTGATAAAGTTATTTTGTCGTGAAAAATAGCGGTAATGCATTCTGATATACTGTTTTCTGTGAAACTTAAGTTTCATGCTTGAGAACTACAAGCAGTCGCGGTCGTTAACGGGGTTGCACACTTAATTCATTTTTTTGCTATACGATCAAATTACCATATATATATGTATACTAATATTTATTGATGTCGATTAGTGGCCAATGCAACCGGCTATTTTACGATTACCTGATTACAACTCCTCACTGCTTTTCTTTTTCTAATAAATGGTATTTACTGGCAAGTGTTAAAAATACTTTTGTAAATAAAAAAAAAAACAGACGACTTAAATTTCTTAGAAATATTAATTGCGAATAATTTGATTTCGGCGATCTAAAAAACCTCATTGCCGCTAACGACTACTAGTAAAAAACATAACTATATTGCAAAGAGGGGCGTTTTGACTATTTGGGAATCCCTAAATATTATGTAATATTTCCGAATTTAGATCTGAAGTGTCGTATATAAGGTTAGGTCATGGGCTTTCTCAGCTTGGTTGTATATAACGTAAAATGGATTCCGAAAAAAATGCGATTTGTTTTCTTGTCTTCGTCTCATAAATTGCACCGCGATATAATGATGCGACGCGGTAGGTCACATGGAGTGTGTTCAGTGGATTTAGTCGAAATCGGGATTGCGCAATAATTGATTGTAGTACAGGTGTGGCTTGCGCAATACATCGGCAATTGTGGACAAGAAAAAAGCGATCGGCCGATCGCTAATTTACCTTTGTGACGTAACTAACAGTAACGACCACGTAGACATGTCTGGGCATGTTCAAGCAATGCTGAAACATGACATGCTGGCTTGCATGCCTAGGTGTCGGAATGGCCAGTTGATGTATATTGTATACGATACAATTTCTCGCTTGTAGAAAATGCTTACCTAATCTTAATGCCATTCATGACAATATAATATTTCATTTTAAATAGTATTTAATATTAAATTAGAGAAAATTAATTTGTAAGAAAAAACTAAGAATGCAACCCTTGTACCATGGCTTGCAAAAGTAAAAAGTCCGCAGTGTTCAAATATTTCAAAGAGAGTGGAGATAAAAATGCACTAATCTGCCAAGTATTAAAGAAAGATGGGGCCGTTTGCAATCTCAGGTTCATCAATAAAACTTCAAATTTGAAGCGGCATTTGGAAAGACATCATTTTGATGCCTTCGAGTCTGTCAAAAAAGAAGACAGTGAAGACACAAAGAGAGACAGCGATATAAGTAGACAAACCTCTGTCTCAAGCTACTTCACAAGTCAAAAAGTGACCATTTCCATGACTAAAGAAAAATTCCAGAGACATATCATACAGCTGGTGGTGAATAATGCAGCTGCAATTCAACTGTTCTCTTCGAAAGCATTCCTCGGATTAAATGGAGAAATGGCCAACAAATTGGGAGTATCACTGGAGAGACATGATATAAGAGATATGGTGGTGAAGGAAGCCGAGTGTCAGAAAAGAGTGTTAAAGGATATATTACATGGGAAATTTTGTTTTTTGAAAATGGACGCTTGTACTAGACAGAGAACTAATTATTTCGCTATAAATGTTCAATTTGTGGATTATAAAAATGAAATAGCCATCCGTACATTATCAGTACGGGATACACAAGCTCAACACACAAGTGAATTTATTCAAAAATTTGTTGAGGAAGTTCTGAGAGAGTTTGAAATTAGAAAAGAACATATATTAGCGATTGTGACAGATAATGCCTCTAACATGACAAAAACAATAGAGAAACTTAATGCAGATATGATTGGGGACGAGGTTGAACGTGATGATGAGTTGAATGAGGGTGAATCAGATGAAGCTTTAGTTAGTGCTGTAAACAGCATAACAGCTGTTCATACAATTGAGCACATGCGGTGTGCAGTACATACCCTTCAGCTTGCTATTCGTGATGGTTTGAAAGAAAAGCATGTACACACTTTACTAAGTAAGCTACGTCAAACCTCAGTCATGGCCAGGACGCCTAAAATAGATGCTATATTGAAGCGTAGAACAGGAAAAGGTGCAATAATAGATCAAGCCACTAGGTGGGGTAGCACCTACTTAATGATTCAGCGGCTCTTAGAACTAAAAAACAGTTTAATTGACATGGCCAATCCAGACATATCCTTGACTGATTTGCAATGGCGACAGACACATCAATTAGAAGAATTACTTCGGGAGCCCTATTTAGTCACCAAAAGGTTACAGGCACAAGATTTGACACCAGGGTCTTTTTATAAAGAGTGGAAAAACCTCATTTATAAACTTTCACAATCCAGTAGCATCATTGCAGATGCTATAAAAGCATCTATGCTGCGCAGAGAAAAATGTCTCCTCGATAACTCTGTATTATTAGCGGCTATTTATGTTGATCCTATGTACAGGGTTACCCTAAGTGAAGAACAGCTCAATAGACGAAAGGCAGCGCTATGTGATATAGCTGTTCGAATGCACCGTGGATCACGCGCTACACAATTTGAAGACCAATCACTCTGTGCTAGTGGGCCTTTAGGGAACTCCTCTGATTCTGGTTCCGAATGCGAAATAGATTTTGAAAAACACCTTGACATTGAAGCCAAACGTCGTCGAACAGAAAAGGAAAGTAGAAACTCAAATTCAGATCTATCACCGCTTTCCAAATTCAAAAGAGACTTCTTTTATGCTTTAAATGATGTAGAAAAAATAGATCGCTCATATAAGTTGGATATTCTAAAAGCCATCCCAGAATATCCAGAAATAGTTCAAAATGCGGCATATATGGTGACAGCATTGCCTCCAACCCAAGTTAGTGTGGAAAGATTGTTTTCGGCCCTGCGCATAATTCGTTCGGACCTGCGAGCCTCAATGAAAGAAGATTTAGTAGAAGCGATACTGTTCTTAAGAACAAATTCATTTTAAATGCTCGTATAAATTATGTGATGGCCATTCAATGTTCAATTAGTTTTTATTCACTTTAATTTCAATAACATTTAGTAATATACTGTATTTCCCGGCAAAAAAGACGATGTCTATTTTTATAGCTATCCAATAAGACGACGACTTTTCTGTTGGTCAGTTATGCACTAATATGCGCCATGCGGTAATAATTTTATATGGTTAGAAACAGATCATGTTTGTTTGGTATAATCATACTCACAAAATTAACTATTCATAACAACAACATGGTAATTTTAAGTTAAAAAGGTAGTGAAAACCATTTTGAATGTTTGTAGGGAATATGACAAATAACAGCTGGCAATACAAAGTCATTTGAATATCATGATTAGCAGACCCTTTGGCGTCTTCGAATACATACGGTAATTAAAACTACTTTTAATAGGCAAGTTGTTATTTTTGAGTGTTCCAAAATTCCATGTACAAAGATTATTGCATTTCACGTTTTCTGTCCTGCATCGACTGTAGTTTATAGAATAGTGCTCAGAGTGCAATTCTATTGTTCAAAAGCAATTTACCAAGTGAAATTTGTGTTACATACTTATTCACAAATGTAATTTAATTTAAGTATGGCCGTGGTTCGCCATATGTTTAAGCTCTTTTATCGGTTCCTATATGTAAATCTTTTCTTCACAATATAAAATATATCAACCCAAATGTACGGTTAACACAAATCATGTTTGAGAAAACATCTGCGAAAAATACGCTGATCAGTTGGCCACAGAAATCAAGCAAGCCTAGCTGCCCAATAAGATGCCTCAGGCCAAAAAATGGGGTCTATAACAGCCGGGAAATATAGAAATATAAGATATCCATTGAAACTCACAATATTAAGTGTTAACTTGATTTTTCATGATTCCCTTACCAAGTGTGTGATAAAATCATGAAATAAATAACAGTGAGGCATTGACTTTTTGTGAATGATAAGCTTAGCGGTACTATCAAATACATTATAGTGTGCGGAGCCGGAGCTGGAGCCAGCTCCGGGCTAAAAAAATGAAGCTCCGGAGTTGGGAGTCGGAGCCATAGCTCGAATATACTCTGGCTCTGGAGTTGGAGCTGGAGCCACACTGATTTTAAGCCAGCTCCCCAGCCCTGATTGTAATAATCAAAAACGAAATTGAAGTCTCAAACTCTCAATTAGACTACATAAATGTATGTAAGTCAAAAATTTTGGTATTAGACACCCCAACAATAACAATGCAATGTTATTACATGAGATAAAAGGCATGGAATTTAATGGCCCGTTGCTATGAACTTTTTCCCGACCCGAAAAATTTTCCCTATACTTCACCATTGCAAAATTTTCGGGGCTATCTTAAGAGTGCCTCTGCGAGTTGGCGCCTGTATAATGGGGTATGTGTTTCAAACTATCATTACGATTCATTGCATACAACAATCTGTTTTTTAAAAGTACCGGTAACGAATTTTAGCCTTGTCTGTCACAGTTATTTCTACATTAATTTTTTATTACTGCATATAAATTAAAACTCCTAGAAAGACAGAGTGACTATTGAATTATCTGATTTATATTTAAGTTTCTGAAACGCAACTGAAAACTAACGAATAGAGTTCAAAAACGCCAAAACGAGGTAATGTTTACGACCGCAATTGGAAATCTGTCTGAGTGAGAAAAATGTCGGAGCGGATGCAAAACGGGAGCATTGTTACGTTACTTTTTGCATCTTGCTGATTGGCCAATGTCACGAAGTAAACACGGAAGTCGATGCTTGGGGAAAGGTCCATTGCATTTCCCTCGTAAACATTTAAATCATGGCTCCATGTTGCTCAATGAAATATTTATGCGCAATCCAAACTACTCAAGCGCTTCTGCTTTTATTTATAAAATTTCCTAACGCAAAAAATGATGTTGCACGCAAATAGGAATTGAGAAAAATCACATATAATTGACACAGTCCACTTAAAGGGAAACTCTCGCCGGATGTAACGGAACCCCAATAATTGTTTTGCAAACCCTAGGATTCGGCGAAACCATGGCGATAAAACTACCGACCTAATATATATAAATACAAGGAGTAGCCCAAAGTTTCCAAGTTCACACTTAATAGTAATCAATTCACTTTTTGTATAAAAAATGAACCTACTTTTTCCTTCTCTTTGATCCAAGAACTCCAAATGCCATAACAGCGATCCCGTTATCTTTGCAGAACTTCACCATATTTCTATCAGTCAAGTAAGGATGTGATTCAGTCAAGTGAACAGCCGGTTTAATCGAGCATTCTTTTAATATTCGGTTAATCTGGTACTTGTTAAAATTTGAAACTCCGATGCTTCTGACTAAACCATCTTTCTGCAACTTTTCCATCTCCTGTATTTGGTATAATAAGAGACTTAGTTATGGTTTATTGAAAACAGACTGTTAAAAACTATAGTATTTACCTTCCACGTATCAACATAATGAATTTCGTTATTGTGACGATAATTTCCGTCTTCATCGACTGGTGTTAAATCGTTTGTTTTCTATATCAAGAAAAACAAGAAAGCAATGCTCAAATATATGGACACGAAGACCAAAACAAAGTACAACAGTATCAAATCTCTTACAGTACCGGTAGACCCTCCTTTTATAGAAACTCATGAATTTGCTGTCCATCGAGATCGCTGAAATGCGATTTAGGACCTCCACAGGACACCACCATGGTGTTATCTTACAAGACTTCGAAGTGAAAAGCGGATCCCTTAGAACCCACAGAAATTTTTTAAGAAAATAAAAGTAATACAATTCGACGGAAAACAACAATCTTTAACCACTGAAATAAATTGTTCCAGTAATGAAAAAAAGTGAATTTTTTATAACCATAAGCAGACAAATACCAACAAGAAAAATAAGAAGAACAACAACCTAATAAAACAAAACTTTGTGCCCAATAAAATGAGACCATAGTTACCGGCATTGCACAGGGAATATGCATTAAAAATGCATCCAAATAATCAGTTTGCAAGTTGTTCAAGCTTTGCATAAATCCTTCTCTGACATCATTTGGGTGGTTGAATTGGCACCAGAGCTGAGAATACAATATTACAAATATCATATAATGCTATCTTGCATTACTCGCGATTTATTAGAGAACATGGACCAGTTTCTCACGGTCGTTTAATTAAACTAAACGCGATGTCGTTTAGAATTAGTATTATATGCGTGGAAAAACGGGCACTCCAGAAGTGTGTGTACCAATACGGAGGGAACTAATTTTGTTGGCCTACTTTACATCAAGTTGTGCAAAGGGACTGAAACCTAGATGGGTAGGGGACATATTCGTTCGGCTAACACAGACAGTCCCCGAACTAATATACTTAATATAAGGAACATATGAATAAAATTATGGCCTAACCCTAACCATACTACCGGAGTACCGAATTAGTATTATATGTGTGGAAAAAAGATCATCAGTAAATCACTGTTACCTTGCTAGTCAGATACATATTTTCTCTTTTTACTTTTCCTTCATTGTACACATCTTGCAGAGTATCTCCGATCACATTTTCGTTTCTGTAAAACCACGCACAGTCTATGTGCCGATATCCTATTCCAATAGCTGTTCGAATCAAACTCCTAAGATCTTCATCCTGTGCAATACAATGGCATATTACATCGAAATAGTATTGTAGACCATATTGACCTATATACTGTAGGCCAGGGTTTTCCAAACTGGGGTCCTCGGACCCCTAGGCGTCCGTGATAACTGCACAGGGGATTCGCAACGACCTACATGTGTGAGACAGTCTTTTCATCTCTCACCAATATGAAATGAAACATTGTCCTCCCTCGATGGTTAGGCACAAAAATTATTACGGCTCAGGATGGGGATTCGTCAAAACTAAGATTCACAAAATGGGGTCCGCGGCCCAGAAAGTTTGGGAAATGCTGCTGTAGGCTACTAAACTAGTGCTACTCATCGATACAACGATTCATCAGAACAATTCGAAGTTGAACTTCGTAATCAAAAATAACAAAAGAATAACTGACTCCGGAAATATTGCAATACCCTATAGCCTACTTACTTTCCACGTTCCAAGTGCCATTGCCGGCATCTTATATCCTGTATTCAAGGTTATGAAATCCATGTCCATATTAGGATGGTGGGATTCTAAACACAATGATCGGCAAACCTATTTATAATTGACATGGCTGCGAATGAACCAAAGTTTATTAATTATACTTGATAAATAAAGCATCGAGTAACAGAGACTTATGTAAAAATAGACATATTTAGTGTCGAAAACCTTAGATATGGCACTAAATCCGCGCACAACAAAAAATACATTATTAAGAACGACATGAATTAAAAATTGCAGAAAATATATAAAATGAACTTGGTCAACGAAAACAAAATAGAGGGTTGTTACGTATGGTTAGCAGATATAACAAATATACTTTTATAAATGATTACCTTTTTTTTCAGCGTTCACTTGTGCCCTCCTAGTGTCATGACTTGCACGTGTAGCGAATGTGGATTGTAACTATGGACTTCAATGTTATTTAACCCATTTATATTAAAAGTCTGTTGAAATCAATGAAATAGCTCAGGGTGGTTCAAACCGAGACCCGCAAACACATTCCCGAACAATTTCTACGTGCACTAACTAAACCATTGGGAAATATAATGGCGTAGCATCCACCCCCGCAACCCCCGCGGTCGCGGGAGGGCCCACAGCGAAAAGGGGCCCAAGCGGTTAGAATTAGGAAATTTAAGTCGCAAAACCAGAAGCTGCATTGCAAAACCAGTTGTGCACATCTTATAACGTTGATGTTAGTTCTGCTCAAATCATTTTGTTACGTAACAATGCCAAGGAGTCGTCGATTTTCGGCGTCTTGTGGTTTGATCGCACCGGCAAAATCACGAAGGCTGTCAGAATGTCGAAAGCAAAACCTCTCAGTGGCGCACAGAAAGACAGAAAAAGGGCAGGAGAGGAAGCACGTATGGAAAAAATTAAAGTAAACAAGATAAACGGCAAATGTTAGGTTACCATTGCCTTTTAATAGCGACAGCACGAGAGTCTTGCTACGCCACTGGGAAAATATTTGTATTTATTGAACATTTTTGAGGTATTTTTATTCACGGAATTTCAATGCTGTATCCACAACGTCAAGACGATGCCAATATGAGAATGACGTCCTGTGATAGGTAGAAGAAGAACGATTTGTCTTGTGCAGACAGAACCAGGCCGATGAGATGAGTGACGCTTTTTATCTAAACTTCGTGCTTAAGCTCGCGTCAAGTACCTCCTCATTTGAAGACACGTTTTTTATTTTCATTTCAGTAAAACACTCTTCTATGTTCAAACGCTGACCATGTGACAGCAGTGAAGAACCGCAGAACTGACTTACCGCCGCGTGATCCAGTTTTTTTTCTGGGTTTGGAATCCCAACTTCAAGTCAAAGATAACAATTCATTATACAATGAGTGTAATAAAAAAGGTGACCAAGGTAAATTGGGCAAAAACGTATTTCCTTACCCACAGTAACGTTAAACCCGAGTGTTTGGTGTATTTTCAAGTAATATCTGTCACGATAGAATGTAATTTTAAAAAGACATTACAAAACCAAACCCGAGAAAAGATACCGAAAATACCACGGTATTACTCTGGAAGCAATTTTAAAAAACCTAACAGCTTTAAATATCTCATTGAAAATGATTAGAACGGTAAACTCTAATTGCTTAATATATTTAAAATAAGTAAACTCGCGATGTTTTGATCATTTTTGGGTTTTCTTCGACTGCGACCCGCGAGACATTCTCAAGAGTTTTTGCGGCTCGCCAACCTCGAACCACCCTGATATAGCTCATTCAGGGTCCATTCACATCTGTCCACACCACTGCGTTATTCTTCAATTGTTTAAGTATATCTTGTATTGTTTGAAGAAGTTAGACCATGATCTAACGAAACCTCACAAATTACTTACTATTTCGTTGAAAGAGATCATGTTATTTTTACTTTTCACTTTAATACTATCTCGTTCAAGCATCCTTGTGGTGAGTGCCACATACGGATCCGAAGTAGAAAGTAAACAAGGAGAAAGGACCTGCAGTTCAATACACAGTATCCAAGTTCCCTTAAACGTGCGTGGTTGCGTTAACTCATAATTTTGCCGGACTGCATCAGCGCAACGAGTTCCCGAGGATACATTATTTGCGTTGACGCGCTGCGTTGTTCGAGATTTGAGTTGATATCAGGTGCTTTGTTTTATGGTTTGGCGATGACTTTAAGCAACTAACCTCAACTATAAGATGTTCTAAATTTATATCTTCTCAATGTGTATAAATCATTGTAAGTTTGTATTGTTTTGAAACATAACAACTAGTGTATTGATATACAACTGGATTATAGACTCGCCAAAAACCCTCAACTTCATATCTAAATAACAGTTTGCCTCCCCACTTATTTCTCTAACGCTTTGCATATCGAGTTGCTGAGCCAGAATGGATACAGGTACCGGTACTTCTGCGCCCTGAAAATATGACGCATCGCAGTGTGAACAAGTTCAACGCATTGCGTTTGCGTAAAATATAACACAACGCTTTGCGTTGGTGTGAATGGGCCATTTAAGCTATTTCCCTGATAATGATTTATCGCTACAAGCCTTAGCAATACTCTCTTTGTATCGATCAATTTGATTACGTGTGTTTCCGGCTTTCGTCCAAGGCTTGAAATATAGTGTTTTCATGTTTTGTTGATTTACTGCTTTGGATTCGACCGTATAACTGTATTAAGGGTTCAAGCGTATATTTCAATATATCTGTATTTGGATTCAATTCGATTGTGCAACAAAATACGAACATTTGGTCTAACAGTCAACAATAACAGTCTATAGTTACAATCCACATTTGCTACGCATGCACTGGCTTCGTGAATTCTGGACTAAATACTGTCTGATTAGAGACCTTCAGGTTGCATAAAAGTATGTAAGATGTCTAGCCAAATAAAGTTTATTAAAGAATTGTTGTTACAGCTTTATCCTGAGAAAACTCCATCGGTTATAAATACATTTTACGCATAAACTCTATCTACACTTTACCAAATATTTGATTCTCCATTATTTCAAAAAATCGAAACCTTGAGTTCGACTCTCACTTATTTAAATCTCAAAATTTGTTGTTGAAGTAAATTTCACATGCATACTGCAACTTGTCTTTCCACGTTCCTATTACTGCAATATTTGTCGTACCAACTGTTGACAAGGTACACTGTAAAAATTTTTGTAATTTTACATCCATTTCTTTGTAAAAAATACGACAACAGTATAAGTATTTTACATAACAGTAAATTTTACATCGTACAAGCGTTACCTTGGTTGTAAACTCTGGACTACTGGTGCTGTAGAGTGTAAACTACCGGTATATTTTCAGGTTTTGCAAGGTGAGTTAATTTATCAACTACTTGGAATGCCTATTTAAGTTCTGCCTTTATTACCAACTTTCATTCAAATTAACGGAGCGTGACGACTGCTGCCAAGCCCACTTTCTACCCTTCTCAGAGGCAAGACGGCGGTTTTGTTTTGTGTTAACAACTGGTTTTACGGTCGAGAAAGTCAATGTTTATTTCGACTCCATAACCAGCACAGTAGTATGGCAGTATTTTCGACGAGCAACTATTTATACGTATTTTTACATCATTGTGTTTTAATTTCACCGCTTGTACGATGTAAAATTTACTGTTATGTAAAATACTTATACTGTTGCATAATCATAAAACAAACATACGGTTGTTAAATATACAATGGATTATACCGTACGTAACATACAAAAATGGCTGTACTGAAAACAACTATCTCGCGGTTATGTTAAAACTAGTCCACTGGGTAGTAGGCTTGCACGTAATTTACAGATTTACGGAATTACGGAATTATTTCGAGTTACGGAAGGGAAGTTACGAATTACGTAAAGTCGTAATTATTGGTCGAGCGCTTTCGCGATTGAAACGAGCTCTCTTCAAAGCAGTCAATTCCGTCGATTGTAAAAAGTGAAAGTTTAAAAAGAAGTTAAAGCTTCGGTATTTGCAGCCGTTTTTCTCACTTTTCTCTCTCTTGCCAATACGTCACCGTGATAATTAATGTCGCGCTTATCAAACAGCAATATGACGACGGAAGAGAAATTGCGTAATGAACCAACGCAACTTCGTCTTTTCGGCATCGGTAAAGCGATTGAGACGGCAGAGAAACAACAATATGACGGGATTTCCCGCGATCCGGTAAAAATCCTTTGCGGACCGTTGACGGTCCGCGGACCGGCGGTTGGGAAGCACTGTTTTAGAATACTTAAATCGAATCCAGAATCCTATTCTATTTTTATAGTTACCGTATTCAAATAGTGGGATTTCTCCACCACAATGATTGAAATTAAAAAAAAGCTAAATTGTAGCCTAAATGTTTAATGTATAACTATCTTTATGCAGTGTTTAATTGAAAATGTCCTGATCATTGGATTATATTTAACCAAGGCAACGAGATTTAAGAATTTCGACGATCGTTTTTTTTTTGTTTTTAACAGTTCAATATTCTCAATTTAACTACTATCAAATATCAAGTATGAGCCAGTGTGTTTATTCTGTGCGAGAACCATTTTCAATTACAAAACCTTGATGTTCTGTTACCGGTTTTATCGTTTTATATCAGTCCGGACTTGTCCCTGCTCAATATATTTTCCACAATGCCTCGCAATATTTCGGCCAAATATGATTAACTGTCTTTACCAAATGCGGCAACTTATTTTGATTCTTGAAAACCACCGACACTCGACCAAATTTGTGTCAATCTTGGCCGATAGGATCGTCGACTTGAGTTAGAGAAATAAGTTAATTTTTTCGTGCGTGCAAAATAAATGTCACAATATGCATTTTTTTGCGATAGAAATTTGTATTTTCGGAAAAGCCATATCATATAAGTACGGTATTTAAATTATGCGCAAATAATTAATATTTGATCTAAATTTGTTGCAAATAATGTTACAACATTTAGGCCGCGACAGGATTTAATGTAAAATGAAGCATGGTAATCGGAATAACGTCAATAAGTCGGGATCAATAAATATTATAAAATGCTGACTAGGTAGTAAAGTCGAATAATGTTAAAAACGGTGCAATAACAAGTCTTCGTCGCGAGGCAAGAGCAAGTATAATCAAACGAGAGAATACGCTCGTCATGGCATTGATAAATTGGAAACCCGACATTTTTTTGAATACGATTTAAAAAAAGTCAACTATCGTTTCATAAATATCCGTATACCAGTGTCGGTAATGATAAAATTGATCGCATAAAATTGGGACGGTTAATTTGCGAAGGTGATAAAGGAAATCAAAGCTAGCACAAAAGATAACAATCAGAATAAAATTAATTTGAATTCACTCTTGTCTTAACATCTGTCACCGGCGTGTAGTACTGCCAGGAATATGAAAACCCAAACTCGATGTCCCAATCGAAAATGAAGTGGATTCAATTGGTTGTTATGATAGGTTTAAATGTGTGAAAAAATATCGCAATTACGGGGTCATTACGTAATCGATTTGGCCGTAATTACGGAATTGATTTTTGTCAATTACGTGCAAGCCTACTGGGTAGTAATCAAAAGCATAGAGTTCAGAAGACAGTCTTCCACATATTATCAGCAAAATGCATGCCAATGAAAAATACATTGGTGCGACGAATTTGGTCCCAAACTGATGCGAATTTGGCTTCGCGTCATAAGGCGCAAGTTATACAATGCTACGAAAACCTGCGGTTTCGTATGTCATCGCGACATAGAATTTATAGCTTACGATAAAAAAAATCTTAGAAAGGATATTTTATTTTAGGCATCATGTAAACTGGTGATTAAACTGACAAGAATACAACTGGAGAATTTTGCGTGGTGCACTAAAAACTAACATACAAACAACATTGACTAGTGATCTTGACATTGGCAAGATCAACTACTTGGAATGCCTATTTAAGTTCTGCCTTTATTACCAACTTTCATTCAAATTAACGGAGCGTGACGACTGCTGCCAAGCCCACTTTCTACCCTTCTCAGAGGGAAGACGTCGGTTTTGTTTTGTGTTAAGAACTGGTTTTGCGGTCGAGAAAGTCAATGTTTATTTCGACTCCATAACCAGCATAACAGGCGATAAATTGATTGATAAAAACGAATAAATAAAAACTGATTATGAAATCAGGAGAGCAGATAAACCTTAGAAAAGGTTCAAAACGTACAGAATATAAGATAGAAGGTTTTGCCAAGAAGAAGCGGTATGTGTTCACTCGCCCAAAATTATTAGACATAAAGAAAATGTCGAATGTCGATTAGACATAACGAAACAAAATTAGTGGACATAACCATCGTTTTGCATTATTTTTGGACACCTAGTGGAAAACTTGAAAAATCGCTTCCTTCTCTGATTAGTGGACCAAAATTGTCAGTGGTTGAACATGGAATTTTTTTCTAGAAGGCTATTACTTTTATTTATTTCAAATATTTCTGTTAGCTATGTGGGATTCGTTTTTTGTTTGCTATGACGTCACAGAACGTTCTGCGGACGCACATCAGCTGATTCCGCGCGCGGCTTTAGCCAATGGATCTAGAGCTTAGCAAAAGTGGGAAGTTTTTTACGCCGAACAGTAGACTGTGGTATGATTTTCGAAAAATGACGAAATGCTCTACGTGTCCATATATTTAAGCATATCTCTCGTGGTAAATTTATTCACACGCATGATAGCGCTAATGTTCACCAGTTTTCAAATTAAACCAACCTGCAAACATACCTTGAGACTGTACTTGTGAATCAATTTGTTAACTTTCAGGTACAGTCGGCAGTTCATGAAATTGAATGCAGCAATCTTTCTTTGTCTACCGGTACCGCTGCGTGCTATGATGCGCTAGTTAAGTGTACGAAGACTTCCACCAAAATCTGATAACTTCAGTTTTCTATTGCTGACTTAACAACACAAAGTAAATACAAATTGTAATCGGGAACATCACAAAATCTGGTAAAGCTTTCAAACATGACATTGGACAAAAAGTCTCCGACACTAATGATGAGTTTACTTTAGGAGTTTAGATAAACAGTCGCGCTATTTAAAAAAATCCAAGACTGTATAAATGTTAGCTAACAGATACGTTGTAAATGGGTTGGACTTAGATATGGCACTTCGAACGAAAGATACATTAGGAAAGTCATTAGATAACAAGAAAGCTATGCTCAAATATATGGACACGTCGCAAGGTGCCGCTATTTTTTTATTCTGATCATCCATTATTCATAATTTAATTTCAGCGTGAATTGAAATACCAAGTGATCCAAGTCACTTCTGGAGCCATGTTCACGACGTAAGTACTTCTATTTAGCGTTACAAAACCACTTTTGCATATGTTATTCCACCTGACAGATCATGATCACCCGAAATCGAGCAAGCTATTTTTCTCGTTTTCTCGTGGTAACGACCCCAATATGACAGATCGCTGGCGCTGGTTCGTAATCGTCGGCGCAGATGCCATTTTGGATGATTGTAGCAATACTTTGACAAGATCAATAACGGTACAGGGACTTTCGTAGCTTTTCCATGTCCTGTCGTAATGATCTATTCTTCTTCATTTATTTCAACGCGAATTGAAATACCAAGTGATCCGAGTCACTCCTCTACTAAATAAAATATTTTTATCATCGATTCCCCAAAAATCATACACAAACGGTATCTTACCACTACCGTACCTGTGTCACAGTTTATGAAGATGTTTCTAACGTGGTTGTAGATGAATCAGAAGACTCAAGGATTCCAGATTGATCGTTTATTGAACGGCAACTCACAATTTATAACTTAAAACAGCATAACAGATTACATCACTAAAGAACTGAAAACACGTCCGGCCGCCAGCGCAGCGACCGGAGAAGAGAGATCAAAAGACGCAATTTTTCGCTCACGTATAGTGAGTGGTCGGAGTCCAAATCCGACAAAACAGCATTAAACAGGGGTCAAAATGACTGTTTATAAACATAAAAAGATATATACACACACAATATAAACTCGGACACTTTAGTCCGCGACACCTGCAGGCCTGATATTCGATCGCGGAGCGGCTTATATTCATTCACTCAATTCATTTCCTCCGATCAAAATTAACAAATACGGTAGGCTACAAAACTTGCATTACTGCAATAGTAAGATCGCGAAAGAAATAACTTACCAGTACCGTACCTGCATCATTATGGTACCTCTAGCTAGATCACGGAACCGCTTGAAATAAGTTTTAAAACCGTTTTACCATGGGTAAAATTAAATACAGCAAAATTTTGGATGAAATATCAGATCTCATAGGATTCAAAGAAACTTTTTTAATAAATAAAAGTATTCTTCTAGCAAAAAATATCATCTATACCCACTAAAAATTTCAAAGCAGTTTGGCCGAGTCATCAAGAAGAAAAGCAATTTTTTCATAACAATACTAAGAAGAAGAATACCAATACCAACAAGATTAACAAAACGATCCATAGGTCCAAATACATTCCAAAATCATATGCGGTAACTTACCAGTACCTGTAACGAGATACATGTAACGGTACAGGAACTGTCATAGCTTTACCAGGTCCAGTGGCAACGATCCATTCTTCATGATTCAGTTTCAACGTGAATTGTAATACTAACTGATCCGAGTCACTTCTTTAATACCAGATCGGGTACCGCAGTCAGTCAGGTACCGCAGCCATTGCACATAAAAAACTTTCCCAAATTATATGTGGTTACTTACCAGTCTTTGTATTTCTTATATCAGTCGTTCCCAATTAAGGGCTTCGTGAACATAAAAACTCATTTTTTAGAGACATACCACTAACCTTCATATGTTACTATGTGCAAAATATGGCAACTATCAGTTGGTGTCAAAGGTCATCTCGAAGTTGACCAGAAAGTTTTCTTTCAGGTGGGTCGTGTCTGCTTCTGCATTCATTAGACTACATTCTGTATTTTGTATGATTTAATGAATGAACTTTCTGCAATGCAGCATTATGAATTGTAAAGCAATATTTCAGCGCTATCAGCAATATCCGTTTACACATAAAAGTACGAATAATTGCAGAACATAAAGCGTTGACGGTGTCCGCACGATGTCATCGTCAACTAATCAATGCCGATAAATTTTTGTCTATGTCAGTACTTGTATGCTACTCACTAGGACGCATAGTATTTGCAAATATTTTTAAGGTAAGTCATGATCGCGATGTTTACAGATTAGAATGAGACAGCCGCACAAAAGTGCTACAAAACTTGTTTGTTCTAATCCCATCTGGAATAGGAGTTTCCAGATTACACTTACATCACCCCAACGGGTTCCTTTATATTGCCGAGCTTGACAAGTGATTACTGGTTTGAGCAATAAATGGCATTCATAAAGATTTTGTTTGTCCTTTCTAGTTGTAAGCTCAAAGCTGCGAAAGGCAAAATTCATTTCAATATAATTTATAATTTATAATTTTAGCTCTTCATTTCAATGTTGAACTAAATTGCTTATTTATCTGGTTTCAATCTTCAGAATAATTCTCTTGATGTGCCCAGTATTTGTGACCTCCAAGAAACCTGAAAAATAGACGGGCGATATGATTAGTGAGTTTATATAACTATATGTGCACATTAAATACTAATCCAATATGGGGACGTTGAAAATGTGATGGAAAACATGGGCGCTCCAGAAGTATGTGCACCAGGATGGCGGGCACCGGAATGTCGTATGTGTACCAGGTTAGAGTTAGGCCATAATTTCATTTCAATTATCCCTATTTTAGTTCTATTACGAGTTCGGTGACTAGCCAAGTGACTCCCGTACTATTTGTACCTAAATTATGGCCTAATCTGATACACATTAGAGATGTACCGATACCACTTTTGTCGCCGATACCGATACGCCGATACTACAAAAAGGCCGATATTACCGATATTCCGATACCGATACTATGTAAATATTACTTAATTAGGTGTGCTGTGTAGGGCAGACGGGTTAAAACAATGGTCTTTGAGCGTTGTTCATAGTACACATTATTTCAGATCGAAAAATGATATATCACATAATATGAAATTAATGTTTGGTGTTTGCTTCAACTGATTAAGATACACTGTACAGTAACGCTAGTAATCTCGGTGTTCAATTAGAAAACTCATAAGCCGGGATGTCCAATTTGAATTTAATGTTAATATCGCGACCTTCGAATATCGTTATTCGTGTTTAAGAGAACATCGAATATCACCCACACATTCTAGAGCCGCCGTCCTACGTTCAAATTAAAAGCATTTTTCAAATATTTTATTTCGTGGCTAATCGGAATCGTCGACGCAATAAGTCAAAGCCAACATGAAAGAATATCAATCAGCACCGACCAAAAGAAGGCCTACCGTCGAGGATGCTTTTTTACTTTACTATTTTATATTATTATACAATTGCTATTATATATTTTGAGACAGTCTAGGACTCTAGGCCCTCTAGGGCTAGGCGGTCATGTCAATATATCTATAAAGAAATTGTGTTGTTAAACAAAATTAATATCTGCGTAGAGGGATAATTGTGTCGGAATTTAGTTTATCGATGTCGTCGGACTAAATGACACTCGTACTTGACGACAAACAGTCAGAATTTATACCCGTGCCAAAAGTCTATGTGCCGTTAATAAGGACCCCAATTCCACTGTATGATTTAAAACTGGGCGCCTAATTGCTTTTTGTTATGTGCCGTGTTGATATATTTCTTCATAATTACTATGTAATATTAAAAATGTCAATATAAAAATTTGACAGCGAAAATAGCTAAAAATACGTGAATCATATTCTCTCGCGGGGGTAGGGACATGTATGGCTCATAGCTCACGATCTCTCCAGACAAAAAATAAATTAAAAAGTAGTATTCCAACTTATCTTTTAAAACATTCTGGACCATATCAAAAAGGTAAATATATCGGAAATATCGGCCTTAATCTAACCGATACCGATACATGGCCGATACCGAAAAAATGGCCGATACCGATACCCGATACCGATACATCGGTACATCTCTAATACACATAGGACGTTCCGGTGTCCGCCATATTGGTTCACACACTACGGGAGTACCTTTACAAATGTGTAACAAGGTTTAGTTTAGAGTTTAGACCAACGGTGCGCAAGGTCTGCATACCGAAATTTATTTTGGAGAGAGGGCGCATTGAGAAGAGTAATCGACTTTTTCAAAGGACCATATCATATAATCAGTTTTAATAATCATGATAGTGTCAACTTTAATGGCGGCTGACGTTGAAATAACGAGATGGAAAAATACATTAATAATATTTCAATGAATATATATAAAGTTTAGATATTTTAAATGAAGTTTAAAATAAAATTTGTATGTAGTTAAAGGAAATTTTTTCAACTTTCGCCAGCATGGGAAATTTTTTCAACTTTCGCCAGCATGGGGCCCGCACGAAATGCTTTTGAAGCCGTAGTTTGCTTATCGCTGGTTTAGAGCAGTGGTCGGCTACCACCGGGCCGCGGCCTATCACCGGTCCGCGAAAAGATTACTACCGGTCCGCAGAAAGTTGACAAAAATGAGAACAAGGCCCAAATAACACATCCACAGTCTAACGACCACAAACTGTACGACTAAAAACGGCACCCAATAGCAAACCAGACAAACACAACTCATCTGGGCAGCATGCCTGACTTCATAAACAATTTTCACGTCAATATGTCGCAATAATGCTGCGTCAATTGCGTTCTTTGTGCCTTCGCGAGTAAGTTTCACATTAGTCCAAATAAAATCTCACAACTAAATGATTCTCGCTAACAACGTGAATGCTGGCCCAGTCAGCTATTTAAACTGTGCTAAATATATACTTTATGATTATCATAGAACTAGCACATTTTGTAATAAAATTATTTGTGACTGAACAAACATTGATAATGAAATTCTTGAATGACTAAGCTCCAATGCGAAACAAATACTTTCAAGAGCAAGCACAAAGAGTTGTATTTGCAATTTGGATTTGTAGTCGTAAGTGAACGCAACGAAACTTTTGCCAGGTCCAGTTTGCGACCTTTTTCATACTAAGCTCGCAAACGAGGCAATGAAGCCTTCTAACGAAGAGATTCTCTTAAACAATCACAAAATGTTACGTGTGTCCACCTAGCAGCCTTTGTCATACTAAGTTCCCAAATGAGCAAAGAAGCGTTATAAACTCATTTGAACGATGAGATTGTCTTGTTCACGACGAAATAGCGAAGTAATGTACAGTAAAGTAATGGCCAGAAAACAAATGCAGGTCTTGATTAAATAGCATTAAAATAGATTAAATAGCATCACCTCTGTTTTTGAATATATCGCCAACATTGCTTTTTTAACGCGTATTATTTATTACATAAGCTCTGTTCGTTTTTATAAAAGTGGTCTGTCAAAAGTTTGGTCTGGCTTTACCGGTCCGCCAGTTAAAAAAGGTTGATTACCACAGGTTTAGACAATAACTCATCTGAAGCGAGAAGGATTGACACTCTCGTATGAAGATTCACTAAAATATAGGTGAACATCATACCCTTCCAAGTCGAACATTCTCCATTTCTTGTCCAAAGTATAAATCAGCTTCATTTCATCTTCGGTCAATGCGAAGTCGTGAACCTAGTTATTTAAATAATGTAATTATTGATTGTAAATAAGTAGGAAGGGGATTTTTTCCTAACCTAAAAATGTTATTCTCACTTGAAAATTGCTTTTTATTCGCTCGGGATTCACACTTTTTGCAACAGCTCCTACTCCCCTTTGTATTTGAAATCTTATTGCTATTTGAGCGACAGATTTCCCTCGTTTTTCTGCAATTGATTTCAAAACGGGATCCTCAAGAACAACCGGGTCGTTGTCGGTAGCCCTGAATTGAAAATATAAAGTTTTGTGTTGCGTGGATTTGTTCGTGTGCTCCATTAGTGAGAGTTGCCTTTTCCAATCCATTACAAATACAAGAATAACAAACGCAGTACAAACGATACCAGACATTGGAAGACACTCTCGTCAACTGCAACAACTACCCTAATTTGATATTAAAGAACCCAGTCAAGTGTTAACAGCATTTACAGCCTTTCGCAGATTACAATGTGAAAGGGACATTCAGTCGCTCAGAATGATTATATATAAAGGTATTTATATTTCGCTGCCTAGTTCAAGAATTCCAAGACCATAGGCCAAATTTGAAAATTGAATCATTTTTTTTTAAAATATTACAAAAAAATGGGTGCTTTTTAACTGGAATTTAATCATAGTTGGTAGAAAGATATATAAAAGTATTTCAATAAAATCGAAAATATTTAAAATAAAAAAATGTACGTTTTACTGATATCCGTAAAACAGCGTTTTGATGTCTCGAGTTCGGCTAGTTCATGTAACCGCCTGTCCGTCATATTGTACGCTTTTTGCCTGAAAAGTATCTCACCAGTATCTTGTTCTGGACCCCAGCGCTGCGTATGCCACCACAGCAATTCCATTTCCTTTGCAGAATTCTATATGTTTCACATCAGCTAAGTAAGGATGAGATTCAATCTGATGAACAGCAGGTTTAATCGAGCAATCTTTCAGTATTCGGTTTATCTGGTATTCGTTGAAATTAGAAATCCCGATGCTTCGAGCTAAACCTTCCTTTTGTAATTTTTCGATTTCCTAGACAAGAAATATACCAAAAAATCTTATAATAAGAGAATAAATTTATCACAAGATATTTGAAATCCTCAATTAGCAGAAATGACAGTTGATACACGCACTAGACTAGAGCATTAACTGTGCAAACATAGCGTTCCCCGTCAGGATTTAAACGTTTCATGATGTCTATGTTTGCTCGATTCTTGAGTTTTCATTTTAAGCAATCTTAAGGACACCAATGGTGTCAGTTTTGTTCGAATACGACCTTCGATCAGTCGGTCTTTTTGTTCTTTCCTAAACTAATACGTCTCAGCGCTTTACCTTTCAGTGTCTTATTGTATGAATCTTCAAAATATGTGTGAAGTATCCAATAAAAGAACTACAATAAGTAAATAGATTTATAAAAGCTTTGCCATATACCTTCCAAGTATCAACATAATGAACGACGTTGTTGTAAAGATAAGCTCCGTTCTTGTCTTGAGGAAGCGGAACGTCTGCTTTCTAAAATGAAAAATTGAATGCAATTTAGAAAACTGAGTAATGTATTTATTCATTAATTCCCATTTCTGTTGATATTTATAAATACCATTTTTGGCCACCGACCCTGGCGATACCTTATTTCGCAATAAAACACTTAAATACGATCGGGCATCGCGTCTGCGTTTTTTGACGTCAAACAGGTTTGTCTCTTTTGAAGATGTGCAAAGAGATTGCTGAACTCCGTTTCGTCTGTTGTAAGATGGTTCACGTAACTGGTGAATCGTTCTCAACTACGGATTATTTTAAAGATTTATATTAGTTTAGACCAGGGGTCATCAAACGTTTTTGACCGCGGGCCAGGTATGACTCAAACTGTGTTGAAACGGGCCGGATAAATATTTTTGTCATTGCAATACAATAAATTTCCAAACGTTGAAAATTTATTCAACAATATAAATTCTACATTTTGGAAGTCTTGAATAATAAATTCTATATCGCAGAATATTGATCAAGAACATCATAGCAAAACAAATATACAATATGTCTAACAACTATCCTGAGGTTAGCTGTTAACATAACATATGCTGTCATGAATATCCGCATGTAAGCGGTACAAAAGTTAATGTGACTTGTACTACTAGCGCAAAATGCACGTTCAACATTTATTTTAGCACGAGAAACGTACACGGCAACAGTTTCGCCGGAAGCACGCGCCATGAGTGTACGAGTGCATCCATCCTTCGCAGAAACGCTGCGTTCCGGTATAGGATTTTAGCCTATTTTATCACAGCTATTTCTAGACAATTTTTGATTACTGCGATTAAACTACAACTCCTAAGAAGGGAAGGATTGACTTATTTAGTTCATACTCAAATTTCTGAACCACGGCCAAAAACTAACGAATAGCATTCAAAATCGCGAAAACGAGATATTATTTGAAACCACAACTAAAAATTTGGAGCTTATGCCAAAAGGTCAATTGTTGGGTCACGTTTTGCATATTGCTGATTGGCCAATGTTGGGAAATACACAAGGAAGTCGAAGCTCGGAGAAACATCCCTTGGAAAAAAGTGCGCCATTTTTTCACGTTATTGCGGGTCAGATGAAAGGACGCCACGGGCCGGATCCGGCCCGCGGGCCGTAGTTTTGGTGAACTCTGGTTTAGCTATAAATAACAGATAGTAAGGCGAGAGTATGTTTTAATAAAGAAAACACGTTGAAATACGTTGAGTCAACGTAAATAATAAAATAAATGAAAAGTTTTAAAATGTAAATATCCTTGTGGGACGCGCTCCACCGTTTGAGAACCACTGGTTTACTCACGTTTCCCAATTTCGTAAAAATTCCCTCCGGTTGTTTTGGGGAAGAAAATTTTACATTAAATTTGGTATAGATTCATTAATTTTGTTCACATTTTTAATACTATTGTAATGTCTGTATATGGAATGAACACATTACAAACAACTCGAATTTTCCAAAAGCCAGAGTGCGACTTGCGCCTAATTGTTTGTATATTGAAGATAAAACAATTAACGGAACACAGTTTTTACGAATAGCGGAGAAGGAATAAAGAGTTAGGAAAAAGGAGGAATTTATCCTCAAAGGCTGCGAATCACTGGTTTGAACGAATTTTATAGTCTTGTCAGTATATATGTCTTTGGAAAATATGATAACTTGTACAGTATCAAAAAACTTTATTTATTTCTGCTAAAAACTTACCGGCAAAGCACATGGGATGTGAATCAGGAATAAATCCAAGTATTCGGTTTGCAATTTGTTTAAGCTTTCCATAAAGCCCTTTCTCACATCTTTTGGGTCATTGAATTGTGCCCACAGCTGCATAAATGCATTGATATTATGTAAATACTACATAGTGCAAAATTCGCCTCATATTTTTCTATCTTTGTAAATTTTATGGAAGTTAATGTTTCGTTTGATAGTTGAGGGAATTAAACGCGATCCAGATGGGTTCGCTGATATTACGACACCCAAGAACACGGGCATCGTGAGAGGACCCCATGATCGCATCACTGGATACATATATATTTCAAAATTGAATTGAATATAAATGCGAAGAAATCATCTAAATACCTTGCTTGTTATAAACATTTCTTCTCTTTTTACTTTTCCTTCTTCATATAAATCTTGCAAAGTATCTCCGATTTCTTTTTCATTTCCATACAACCAAGCACTGTCTATATGTCGGTATCCACATTCGATTGCAGCGCGGACAGTAGTACGGACTTTTTCTGGTGGTACCTGCCAAAGCAATGAACTCACAATTTTTTATATCTACATTAATGGTCGCTTATGTACCGTTTTGAAAAAACTCAAGTAATTGACTCGATTCGATTTCAGGTCGAGTCACCATATATCAAAGATTCGGACACTGTACTAGCTTGCGTTATAATTTGGATCGCTAAAACTCGTTGGGTTGAACGTTGGTCACATGTAGATTGGAGGAACTTATTTAGATTCAAATTATGGTAAGCTACTTAAATTTGATAACTTTCGAGGCATATTATAGAAGTTTCACCTATAATACTCATCTAAATAACACGGAAGTAGTCTATGATTTTCAGAGCTATAGGTTTAGATACATTAATAGATGTAGTTTTTCAGTTGAACAAAATATCCGAATCGAATTGGCGCCCAGCAAGTAAAATTTCGTTGTGAGTCTCGTAGAAATATTTAATGTATTTCCTTTAAAGCAAATGTCTTGTTTAATCATCAAGATTTTTTTTATACACTTCTCAAGTGTTTGTGAACCTGGTAGTCAAATATCTATACTTACAATCCCGAATCCCAATACCAAAGCTGGCATCTGATGTCCCGTGTTTAATGTTAGTTCGTACATGACAAACAACAAATCAAGCTTTGTTGTCAAATATTATTTGTTCTTCAACTTTAGTCCGGACTCTCGGTTTGATGTTTTTCGTGAACAACTATATACCTTCGTGACAGCTATATACATTTTTAAAGACGTATGTTATATAGAAATATAATATTATGATATAATAGAAATGTAATATATATAGAAATAACATAACATATATGAAAACCAAATAGAACCTAAAAGGTATCAACCTAAAACCTCGAATAAATAAAAACGTATCGTAAAAGAAATGAGTAAGCATGTATTTTATTCGTGATCTCATCTGACCTTCAAATTTTCCGCTTTTTTAGCGACCACCCTGTCTGTATATTTATTTAATCGACCTTCTCTAAAATTTTCATCTTATTTAACAGCGTCCTAGTTTTACATCACACATTGCGTATTTTCATGACAAATAAGAACGGCTCTTCCTAATAAAAAAAACGGTAACGTTTTTGTCAATGCCAATACGTGCTATTATTTTTTTGGCATAGTTATGTTGGATATTATCCACCGAAAGTAGCCATGTGAGAAAATTTGCACAAAAGCAATTTATTCTTATTTGATTGCCAAATATATAATTAGGATAACGTCGCCTAGTGATAAATTGACAAAGAAAAGAATTAATAGCAAAGCGCATCGTTCAAATGTACAATGTTACAAACATTTTAATAGATATCATATTAAATAGAAATGAAAGTTAAGCTTTGAGAATTGGGGCTTATCTATTATTTGATAGATATGTTCGCGCGACCCTCCATTTTTTATGCGGATTTTGTTTCAATGCAAATACCGGTCATCATGCATACTAAGATATTGCAAGAATCCAATTTTGGTTATTATTGTAAAACTGCTCGAGCTGGCGAACATTAGATACAGGGACGTTGGATTGCTAACAATAAAAAAAAACTTGTGCTTGTTCACATATATGTTGTTGTTGTTGTCATTATGTTTTATGGCACTGATAACATTAGTGGTCTTTTGCACCATTAACATATTTGAAATGAAGAATTCTAGATATCAAATTAGGAAAAATAAATAGATATATATACAATAAAATAATTATAATATTAATAATCCTAAAGAATTCTGCCCTTAAAATACAACGAATTGTATAGCAGATTCAATCATATGTAATTACTTCTGCCGATCTTCCAAAGCTTCTGGTCCTAAATTTTATATCGAAACGTTCCAGTAAACACCCATGCATGGAAGGTCGATTGGACATTTATCATCGTTGCAATTTCGGCCGAATGTCATATCGTTTTCCGTATCTCATGATCACATTATTGTCGTTCTCGAAAGCCATGTTTGAAAACCTCCGCTTAATATTTCACTAATTCAATTATTAGCAACAAACAAGTACATACTTATTTGAAAAAACACCCCGGGAAATACCGGTCCTTTGTAAAATGCTGTGATACTGGGCGATTGCGACACATTCCTGATTATATCAATTTGACATCCGGGAAGCATTTGAAGCTCAACGCGGGATGTAACCCTAAAAAACCTGCTGCCAACGCAAGCAGCATAGAATCAATGGGGATATATACCGTGAGAGATCCAAATTACGGTAAGCTACTAAAATTGAATAGATTTCAAGGGATATTATACAAGTTTTTGATTTAATACTCATCTAATCTAAATAGCACAGGAGTGGCATCTAATTAGTAGAGCTAGATTTAAATGCATTAGCAGGTGCTGTTTTTCAGTTGAACGAATTGGATTGACGTCCAACAAGTTTCGTTGGGAGTCTCATTTCTTGAAAGTAAATGAGTCTCGTTCGACCATCAAGAATTTTTTGGACACTTCACAAGTGTTTGCAAGCCTTGTAGTCCAATATATATCTATACTTAAAGCCCCGAATTCCAATACCTAAGCTGGCATCTGTTGTCCCTTGTTCTCCAACTTTTCAAACTTAATCCTGACTGACTTCGGATTGATTTTTTTCCTCGTGACTTATTTTCCTATGATCATGATGGCTTCCGACAGCAAATTCAAATAGGAGAAAGTTTTAACTGTTGAAAACGTTCCACTGTTGGTGTTGTGACGAGTTACAATAGTAGCCCTACGTTGAACAATTTACACTGAGCTGTTTTTAAGACACAAGTGATCTCGTATACTGGTGCTTTCTAATGTCTGATTA